TTTACAACTGGAAAACAGAGGAAACATCGCCCTGAAATACCAGACGGCTGGCTGAGTGGAAGCTCTACCATCTAAGAAGGGAAGAGAAGGGACTCTGAGCCTCAGGAGCTGTGGAAGTGCAGAGATCTATGTGCTCGGAAAAGGCGCCTGCCAAGTTCGCTGCTGGCTTACTCCTGGCACACAGAGAGAGCGGGAAGCTAATGCACAGCTGGCTTTCTTGTTCGGGAGGGAAACAGAACCACCCTATTGCTCTGATACCCTGTTTCGCCGAAAATAAGACAGTGTCTTATATTAATTTTTGCTCCCAAAGATGCGCTAGGTCTTATTTTCAGGGGATGTCTTACTTTTCCATGAAGAAAAATACGGTACACATTTATTGTTAAATGAAAATAAAGGAAATTTATTACCTGTATATGGTACTGTAGTACGGTAGTTGTCAACACAAACCAGACAAACTGAATCCTACAGTATCAATAATTTATTCATTTATTCAGTGACAATCATGTCATCATCTTCTGGAACATCATCATAACAATTCAATTCCTGAATTTCCTGGTGAATTTCTTATGACCCCATTTCTTTCAGAATCAGTGGACCAAATCTCTCATTTTTAGCAATAGCATTCTGAGACAGAGCCTGGGGGGGAGGGGCTTATTTTGGGGGAGATGCCTTATATTTCACTCAGAAGGAAACCTGTAAGTAGGTCTTATTTTCAGAGAATGTCTTATATTCGGGGAAACACGGTAGATAGCCCCAGTCAGGGAGAGGCCGGACTGTCAGGCAGTGGGCAAAGCTCTCTCAGAGATGCATGTAGCCAGCAGCCTAATATTACTGCGGGACTCAGGAACAGGACCCTTTTAGGGTGGGGCTGACAGGAAACCAAAGCTTGTCTGCACCACCCTGAGACTACACCCCATCCAAGCAGAACATGGAAGCCCTCCCAGTGGCTGGCTTTCTCATTTGGGAGATAAAAACAACTCCCAACTGCACTGAGAGACAACTCTGAGCCAGGAAAAACTGGCTGTCAGGGAGCAGGCAAAACTCGAGAATAGCCTTTCCCAAAGTGGTGTGCACGTCTGCAGCCAGTCTTGCAGGTCTCACCATGAATAGGACTTTCCTAAGGCGGCATTGACAGGGAATCAAAGCTTGTCTGTGCCACTCCGAGACTCTACCCCATCCAAGTGGAGCACAGAAGCCCTCCTAGCTGAGACACTGCTGATTCTCACAGCTAATTGGCTTGGAGATCAATGCTTCCCAGTGATACCAACAACAAACAAGGCTTAACAACAAGACTGCACAGACAGCCCACAAAGGGCTGCACCAAGACTGTCCACCTCAGGTAACTGGGAAGGCTGTGCTACTGGGCTCCGCCAGGACACTTAGCACACAAAACTATTCCATCAAATCAGGGAAGCAGCTAAAATGCAGAGAAGAGGCAGGACACAAAGGAAGGAAATGGAGGAAAGTAAAAGAATAGACATTAAAAACCACAGTTATAAGGTTTTTCAGGAATTTCCTAGAAAAGGCCGATAAAATAAACGAGACCTTTGAGGATATGAAAAGGGATCAACTAGAAATAAAGAATACATTGTCTGAAATAAAAAATATTATACAGAGTCCTAAAAACAGACTGGAATATCACAAGAATCAAGTCAAAGATTTGGAACACAAAGAGCCAGACGACACTCCTCCGCAGAAGCAAGAAGACAAGAGAATCCAGAAAGTTGAAGATAGTATAAGAAACCTCTGGGACAACTTCAAGCGAAACAGCATCAGAATTATGGGGGCCCCAAAAAAGAGAGAGAGCAAGATATTGAAAGCCTATTGGAAGAAATAGTGACAGAAAAATTCCCCCACCTGGTGAAAGAATTAGACCTACAAGTCCAGGAAACGCACAGAACCCCAAACAAAAGGAATCCAAAGAGGACCACACCAAGACACATCATAATTAAAATTCCAAGAGCAAAAGACAAAGAGAGAATATTAAAAGCAGCAAGAGAAAAGCAGATAGTGACCTATAAAGGGGCGCCCATACGATTGTCAGCTAATTTCTCAACAGAAACCGTGCAGGCCAGATGGGAATGGCAAGAAATATTCAAGGTGATGAATAGCAAGAACCTACAGCCAAAATTATTCTACCCAGTAAAGCTATCACTCAGAATCAAAGGCCAGATAAAGAGCTTCACAAATAAAATAAAAAAAAGCTAAAGGAGTTCATCACCGCCAAACCAGAATTATATGAATTGCTGAAGGGGGTTCTTTAGGAAGAGGAAGAAGTTAAAGATAAAAATTATGAACAACAAATACATAACTATCAACAAGTGAAACTAAAAACCAAGGGAATTAAAAAATCTGATGAATAATATTAACTGGTGAATATAACACAATCAGAGGTATGGAGAGGAGTGGACTGATGATTCTCAGGAAAAGGGGAATGGGGAGTGCGGGAAGAGACTGAACAAAAACTGTGCACCTATGGATGAGGTTAATGGGGGGTGGGGAAAGGGCAAAGGGTGGGGTGGGAACCTGGTGGAGGGGAGTAATGGAGGGGGGAAAAAGAGGAATATTTGTAATAATCTGAACAATAAATATTTTTAAAAAAATAAAAAAGGATGAGCTACAGTGTGAAATCACTCAGTATAGTTCAAAAACAAAATATATAATAAAACATATAATATAGCATATAATAAAATATAAATGTATGTTTAATTTATGATTTATATATCTAACATTCATATAGAAATGTTACACATTTTATATCCTATCTAATAAAATAGTAATGTGCATATTAACCATCACTCTGCTACACCCACCAGCCAATCAGGAGTGAGTATGCAAATAAACTTAGCCAAGGTGACTGCAGCCATGGAGTAAGCAGGAGGCTTGGCTCTGCTCAAGACTACAAAGTTTCAATTATAGAATATAAATAAATCCCAGATACCAGGGCCTCTGCTTGGATCACCAGGGGCCTGCAAATCACCACAGGCCTATGGCCCAGGCCACCTCACACTCCAAGGGAACTCCCACCCTTATCCGGGGCACCCTTCCAGGCAAACCAGCTGGCCCCAACCCATGCACCAGGCCTCTATTCTATCAAATAAAAGAGTAATATGCAAATTGACCATCACTCCAACACACAATATGGCTGCCCCCATATGGTCAAAGATGGCCGCCACAAGATGGCCAGTAGGAGAGAGCAGTTGGGAGGGACCAGGTCTGCAAGAGAGGGCAATTGGGGCAATCAAGCCTGCAGGGGAGGTCAGTTAAGGGATGACCAGGCTGGTAGAGGAAGGAAGTTGGGGGTAACCAGGCATGCAGGAAAGGGCAGTTAGGGAGGACCCAGGCCTGCAGGGGAGGGCAGTTAGGGGTGACCAGGCCTGCAGGGGAGGGTAGTTAGGGTGGTGACTAGTCTTGCAAGAGAGGGAAGTTAGGGGTGACCAAGCTTGCAGGGGAGGGAAGTTAGGGGTAAACATGCTGGTAGGGTTCGGCATCAATCAGGCTGGCAGCGGAGTGGTTAGGGGGTGATCAGGCTGGCAGGCAGAAGCAGTTAGGGGCAATCAGGAAGGCAGACGTGCGAGCAGTTGGGAACCAGCAGTCCTGGATTGTGAGAGGCATGTTCGACTGCCTGATTAAATGGGCAGTCAGACATCCCTGGAGGGGTCCCAAATTGGAGAGGGTGCAGGCTAGGCTGAGGGACACACCCCTGTGCACGAATTTCGTGCATTGGGCCTCTAGTTAATATATAAATTAATATATTGTATATAATATTTTAAACATATATTTTATAAATTTATATACATTTTTCCAAAATAAAGTAAGTCCCCCATGGTAGGAAGGCCAAGACCTCTTAAGAACTAAATTGGCTAATGTTCAATAGGACTGGACAAAGAAGATGTAGTACATATACACAATGGATTACTATTCACTCTAAGAAAAGATGAAATTGCACCATTTGCACCAACATGGATGGACCTTGAGAACATTATGCTAAAAGAAATAAGTCAGTCAGTAAAAGCTAAGAACCATATGATTTCACTCATATGTGGGATATAAAACTGAAATTCATGAAAACAAACAGCAGTGTGGTGGTTGCCAGAGGGATGAGGGAGAAGGGAGTCCTAATATATGATGCCAGGAGAAGATTTGACTGGGGTGGTGAGTACATGGTACAACCCACACCCGAAACCTATATATTGACCAATGTCACCCCAATCCTATCTAATAAAGAGGTAATATGCAAATTGGCCCTCACACCCTCACAGAAGATGGCCACTCCCATGTGATCAAAGATGGCCATCACAAGATGGCTGGCAGGGGAGGGTAGTTGGGGTGACCAGGTATGCGGGGGAGGGCACTTAGGGGCAATTGGGCCAGCAGGAGAGCAGTTCAGGTCAATCAGGCTGGCAGGGGAGTGGACAGGGGCAATCAGGCAGGCAAGCAGGCAGGCAGGCAAGCAGTTGGGAACCAGCAGTCTCAGGTTGTGAAAGGGATGTCCAACTGCCAGTTTAGGCCTTATACCTGTGGACATCCTCTGAGGGGTCCCGGATGGGAAAGGGTACAGGCTGGGCTGAGGGACACCCTCCTACAGTGCATGAATTTCATGCACCAGGCCTCTAGTACATTTAATTAAATTTTTTTTTTAAATAGAATAAAAAATGTGAATAGGGCAAACATCAAAATATCAGGTTTCATATTTGAATACAATATTTCCTTTTGTACTCATGTTATTTTAAATGAGGTTATGAATAAGTTCACTACAAGTAGGAGAAAATGTAAATACTAGTTTTGCCCTTTCCTGAATCATAAACATGCCACTTCTAGAAAGAGAAAGCTTTAAATCACAGACGGGCTAAATTGCATTACTTTTCTGAGAAATTATTATTCCTACATTAGAAATGAGAACTAGAAGAGGATATGACTTGCCAGGACATATCAAAATAAGAATTGAAGGGGAGAGGAGGATGCTTTTTATCATTACGTCTCCTGTTCATGAAACTTACCCTGATAAATCATCTCATCTTCCTCAGTCACATAGGCGTTGGCCCCCCAAATTACCATCTTATGGATGTAAGATGGGTATTTTGCAGCTGCAATGAGGGCTGTTATACCACCATCACTCCAACCCAGCAAAGAGATCTTCTTAAACTTCAGCGTCTGTGGTCAACACAATAAAAAGAACAGCACAGATTATTGCTCCTCTCTGTCAAAAGAACCCAATAATCAATAATTAACAGAATCAATATAGCTGAGGGGTTTGGAATATCAATTAGTAATCAATGAAAAATCATTGAGTCTACTACTTGATGACATAAATGCTTTCTCTCAATTAGTTTGGTTTAAATATAATGTCATAAGTTTTGTTTTGAATTTTGAAGAAACTACTTCTGTTTGGATAAAATCTCAAGGAACTGGAAACAATGGAAATCAGTTGAACTTGGACATGACCAACATGAACACTTGAGCAAAGATTTTTAAAACAGCTGTGCAGATCAGAAAGGGAAATTAGATGAAATTAAGTCATTGCATCTGGTAAAGTTCCTAATTGCAACACTGTGAAGAAGTGGCTGGAGGAAGTTTGGAAAAGTATGGTGTCATGAGGAGGTTATGTTAGTCCCAGAGTGAACCAACAGGGCTCTGAAAATGTGTTCCACAGGGAAAATGAACAGAGATGCTGACTATGACAGAAATGCTATCTAGAGCCGAAACCGGTTTGGCTCAGTGGATAGAGCGTCAGCCTGCAAACTGAATGGTCCCGGGTTCGATTCTGGTCAAGGGCATGTACCTTGGTTGCGGGCACATCCCCAGTAGAGGGCATGCTAAAGGCAGCTGATCGATGACTCTCATCAATGTTTCTAACTCTCTATCTCTCACCCTTCTTCTCTGTAAAAAATCAATAAAATATATTTAAAAAAAATAAAAGAATGCTATCTAGAACAGAGATGCTATCTAGAAGTAAAATTTGAATTGGGAAAACTAAGTTAAGGAATTAACAAATACCAGTCCAAGATAGTTCCTGATAAACTAGGATTAGTACTATGGATAACAACTTGGCACTACCTTGTGAAATGAACATGTGCATTTTCTGTAACCCAGCAAGCCATCTCCTAAGTGGCTATGAGACTCTTACGCATATGTACCAGGAAATAGGTCTAGGACAGTGGTCGGCAAACACATTAGTCAACAGAGCCAAATATCATCAGTACAATGATTGAAATTTCTTTTGAGTGCCAATTTTTAAAACTTATTCTAATGCCACTTCTTTAAAATGGACTTTCCCAGGCTGTGGTATTTTGTGGAAGAGCCACATGCAAGGAGACAAAGAGCAGCATCTGGCTTGCAAGCCGCAGTTTGCTGACCACGGTTCTAGGATATCCACAGGAGCGTTGTTATAATAGAAAACAAACAAACAAACAAAAACAGGACTAAGCTGAAACTGGTTTGGCTCAGTGGACAGAGTGTTGGCCTGTGGATTGAAAGGTCCCAGGTTCGATTCCAGTCAAGGGCATGTACCTTAGTTGCGGGCACATTCCCAGTAGGGGGTGTGCAAGAGGCAGCTAATCGATGATTCTCTCTCATCGACTTTTCTAACTCTCTATCCCTCTCTCTTTCTCTCTGTTAAAAATCAATTTAAAAAATTTTTTTTAAAAAAGGACTAAAATCACAACAGACAACAGAATGATCTCTATACTGCTGTTTATAATCACCAAAGGGCAACTTAAAAATGAAGTTATTTATCTATCATTAGAAGAGGTATGAATAAGAAGTAGTACATCCACATAAGGAAATACTATGCACCTATAGTACTGATGTACCTCAGCTGGAGTGGCTCAGTTGGTTGAGCATGATCCCAAGTACCAAAAGGTTGCTGGTTCTATTCCTAGTCTATACCTGAGTTGTAGGTTTGATCACCAGTCGGGAAGCATACCTGTCAAGGTTTCTCTCTCACATCAATGTTTCTTTCTCTCTCCTCCATTTACACTCTCTCCCCCGCCCCCCCCACCTCCCAGCATGTCCTTAGGTGAGGATTTTTTTTAATGCAAAAAAAAAAATGCTGATGTAAACTTAGTTATTGACATGAAAGTGTCTCCTTGACAAATTGGAGAAACAGTAGGTACAGTATAATGCCATCAATATAAAATGGTCTATTTATATGTGTAATTAGAGGCCGGGTGCACGGATTCATGCACCAGTGGGGTTCCTTGGCCTGGCCTGTGCTCTCTCACATTCCCACACCCCTTGGGGGATATCTGAGAGCTCAATCCCCGCAGGCAATGCTGAGAGATCCCACTGGTGCATGCACCAGACCTCTGGTATGCATAAGATCTTTGATTAATCTCTTTCTGCTCCTTCTCTCCCTTCTTCCCTCTAAGATTCATCAATCTGTTCCATGTTTCCATGCCTTTGGTTTCCACTCCTGTGTTGAATGTCTGCCCCCTTGTGGCCAGTATAATTCACAGCATTGGCCAGTTGGCCAGTTGCTTAGACTTTTATATATATGGATAAGATTAGCCCAAATGGCAGAGCCTCAAAGGTTTGGTAGTGGTAGCTCTACATAGTTAGCTGTGTGATATTTCTACTTTATTCTTTATACCTATTTAAACGTTTAAAAATTTCTATAGGAACCACACAGTATTACCCTTGTAGAAATAAAAACAAAAAACAAAATAAGGGACAGGTCCAGCCATTCTCCCTCTCCTTGGCTCTCCCCTAAGAGACCTACCTTCATCAAATCAACAGCATCTTTTGCATCCCTTTCAAAGAAGTCCCCTGGGAAATCTCGATCTGGGGGTCTGGAATGTCCATATCCTCGAGGATCCCAAGCAACCACTGTGAAGAGCTTCTTATTTAGGTTTTTAATCTGAGGTCCAAAATCAGTCTCTCCACTTCCTAAAAATAGCCACTTGATTAATTCAGATGAATGCTTTCACTGTTTCAGACACATTATTGTAAAAAAAAAAAATAATAATAAAAAATAACAATAATTACAATCTTAAATCAAAGTAACTCGTTTCTACTCAAAATTAGACATCAGAATGTATGGAATCACCCAAGAAGTCTTGCTTGCAATGAGAATCCATTAACTGGGAGGCTGACTTCCTTTCCCTACAGAGCTCAGAATTGCCTCTTATCTCCCCCTAGTGCAGGCGTCTTCAAACTATGGCCCGCGGGCCACATGCGGCCCGCAGAGGAGTCTGATCCGGCCCGCCAGGTTTTTTGGGCAGTAAGCACAGCCGAGGTGTTACAGTAGGAATTAGTAGTTCATATAGTCCGGCCCTCCAGCTCTCTGAGGGACCGTGATCTGGCCCCCACTTTAAAAAGTTTGAGGACCCCTGCTAGTGGCTACTTTGAGAAAGACCGAGGCCCTGATTCTTCATTTGGTCCTGCGTTATTACTGAAGTCCTGCATTTCTGATATCTCTTCAGCTTAATCTTCCTTTAAAAAAATAAATCATAGTACTGCACAGAAATACTTACTGATATGATATGCTTATGTTATCTTTTCTTTTCTTTTTAAAAAATGACTCTTACAAGTTAGAGAGATTATAATATCTGTAAACATATTTATGGGATTTGATCCAAGTTATTTAAAGGAGAATTCTAAAATCCCAGATGTTCTTTTACTAAGCGAATGTGTAGGTATTTTAGGGTTATAACTAGAAATCAGAAAATTAAACACAGAAATGATGGGGGAGGGCGGGTTGTGGAAGGAATAACTCAATTTAGTTTATTTCTTTAAAATTTACAAAACAGCCCAGCTGCCTGTGGAGAGGGGAACTGGGTGCTGGGGACAGGGATTTGGAGATAAAATCTCACTATTTGACTGTCTGATTTTTGAATCAGGTTAATGTTTTATATAAACAAAGTTTTTATAACTGGATAATGATTGCAATACTGAAAAAATGAAAATCTAAGCCAGTAAATTATTTATTGCTTTTATAGATCTCAGCCATTGGAGTAAATGCCCTTCTTCCTTACAATAGCTTAAGGAAAAACATATACTAATTGCTATCTAGACAAGGATGCCTCCATAGCTACAGTACCACATTCCGCTCAAGTTCAGCCAGGAGGAACCATCAACTGAAATACTTTAGGAGAAAGAAGCAAATTATTTTTTAAAGCATAAATTGGGATTTAATTAAACAAAACGACCCAATACTAAGACACTTAAAACTAAATTTTAGATGTCCTGAGATCATTAGAAAATCTTGCTACTACATTGAAACCACCTATCTGTAAAATGAGATTGAGATTCAATTGGCTTTACAATAGTCCATTCATATTGATCTAATTTTGATTTTCAAAACATCTGTAAGCTTTGTTTTGTTCTTAGCTCTTATTTTAACACATAGTCAACCACCAAGGGCCATCAATCCATCTTTCAGCACAGAAAGTCTCCCAAATGGAAAACTCTGAATTCCAGGCAATCTGGAATGGCTGGTCACTCACTCATCTTCTTCCCATATCTCTTTCATTGACTCTGTCATCCTCCCAAAGTGTAGGCAACCAACTACACAGTGTACTTGCATGGGAAAAAAACAAGCATATAAAGGAATAAAAAAATACATATAGCAGAAAGTCATCTTTCTAAATCACCTAACATTTATTATAGCAAATACTACTTAAAGCATTTCTGCAAAGCACTAAAATTAGTAATCAGCATTTGGCCACCACTCTTGGGAAAGCCTCGTGGATCACACTGCATGCTAGAGCAGTCCATGAAAACCTTGCAGACCCAACATTCCAGGAAGCAGCAGGACGGCATGCTCGCCCTCTCCGGTCCGCTGGTAATGCAGGTGGACACCGTTCACAGCCACTTTGGTGGAGGTTACTGAGGTGCTAGAATAGAAAAACCCCATCCAGAAAAGAAAAGTATAAGTTAGCAGAGCCAATATAATATGAGAAAACTGCACTTCCATACACAGGTCAGCTTCAGTGCCCTTTTCAGGCCTCCCAGACTACTCTGATTTGTGCTACAGCTTTCCAAACCTAAAAATGACATGAGTTTGTATCTTCCTCACTAGACTGCAGATCTGGGCTGGGTCTTCACATCTGAATGTCCAGCTTGGGGCTTACCTGCCAGGCCCATGGGCACAAGCCCAGGGAGCTGGAAGCCAGTAGTGCCAATGTGCAGGCTGATAGGGGAGCTCCACACACTGGACCATGCTGAGCCTCTAAGCAACACAGACCATATTCTGAACCTTAGTGGGTCCAGAGGAGCGACCTGGACCTGCAGCTGTCCTGGCAGCATTCCCAAGAATGAGACTGATCTCCAGGGTCCCCAGGGAAGGCCTGGACCTCAAGGCTGTCCTTAGGCATATGACTTCTCACATTCTTTAGCCAACTACAGAAGGGCTCTAGCTAAGAATGCTTGTCTGCACTGATATGGCCAAACTAGTTTTTATTTTATTTTATTTTTTTAATATATTTTGTTGATATTTTACAGAGAGGAAGGCAGAGGGATAGAGAGCCAGAAACATCGATGAGAGAGAGACATCGACCAGCCGCCTCCTGCACATACCCTACCGGGGATGTGCCCGCAACCAATATACATGCCCCTGACTGGAATCGAACCTGAGACCTTTCAGCCCACAGATCGATGCTCTATCCAATGAGCCAAACCAGTTTTGGCCCAAACTAGTTTTTAAAATGTTGAAATATTGATAGATAAATAGCTGGGTCCATAAGCTCTCATCTCAAGAGCCCACCCCCTGCTACCAACCCTCCTTGGCCCAAGTCCTCCCATGATGCAGCATCTCACTGCACATGCTTGGCACGGAGAGGGTCTCTGATTGTAAGATTCGTGTGCCATACCAGGCATTCTGTTCTGGTTCCTCTCTTCAGCTGCTTGTCCAGAAGCTCTGGGACACCTATGCCAAAATGTAAGCCCCCACATTAGGTTCTAGCAGCCTCCCCCCAATTTCCCAGAAGGCTGGGTGACTTCAGGAAGGGACATTATGGTTTTCCAGGACAGATGCTGGAACAAATGTGCTGAACACAGGTAAAACAACACATAATTTCTGGAAAAATAAGACAGAATTGATTGGCAATAAAGTCTCTACAGAAATATTATGGGAAGAGCAATAATAAAGGCACTAAGCAGTGGTAGTATCATACCAACATTGCCAACTTACTTATTATTGATGTCCTATTCCTCTAATTTATTGTTATTGTCAAGATGACTCTAGGATCAAGATAAAAGCAAAAAACATTGTACTAATATTCATTTCAAATATCTGTTTACTGACACATTTGCTTTGCTCACAGTCTATTAGGAGAAAAGATGAAGCCACAGAGATTTACCAGCAAACCCTCAGGGACGAGTAGGTCATGACTGAGGGAAGAAGTTGTACACAGTTGGAGCAAAGGTTATTAGCATTTCCTGTGTTTACCACCCAGGAATGCAGAAGTTCCCAGATAAGATGTCTGGCACAGCTCACCATAGTGATGTGTACTTTTCTTACTCCTTGTGCCCTAAAGATTTTTAAGGGGCTCCCTTCCTTGCTTATAGAAGTAATTTTGTACACTGAGGATGTTATGTACCATCAGAGTCCTCCCTCCCCCACCCTACTCTGTCAATGCCCAAGCTGGTACGTTTTCATGACTGGGTGCTGCTGTCTGCATCTCTCCAGGAACTCAGGAGCCAGCCCTACGGCACTGTCTCAAACAAGCTTCCCTTCCCTTCAGTGTTCATCTCTGTTATTAAAAAACCCTCTACTTTCCCTCTGCACTTTGCTCTGTTTTGATTCCCCATTTCAAATTTATTTTCTTTATTATTATTCCTATCCCATATTCTTTTGGTTGCCTAGTAATACAGAAATAAAATCAGGTAGTCTAAAATGGGCATGATGGCACTTGATGTCAGATTACTAGGGTAGAGGCAGCTTTCAAGGAGAGACAGCCTGGTCAGTGTGGCTCAGTGGTTGAGCATCAACCCATGAATCAGGAGGTCATGGTTCGATTCCCAATCGAGAACACATGCCCAGGTTGTAGGCTCCATCCCGGGTAGGGGACATGCAGGAGCCAGTCCATCAATGATTCTCTCTCATCGTTGATGTTTCTCTCTCTCTCTCCCTTCCTCTCTGAAATAAAAAATGTATTTTAAAGGAGAGGAAGAGAGATTTCATCAGAGATATTTGAAAAAGAGGAAGAAAGTAGCATTTAAAAGGAACTTCCAAGAATACAGTGGGAGGGTGATTCTAACAGAGGAAGTAGTGTGATAGAAGGCACAGGAGGAAGGGCACCTGTGGGACAGGGCAGTGTTTAGCCTGGCAGGAGCGGGGGTGGGGGGGAGAAGGGAGTGGGGGAGGAGGAGTGGTGGGGTGGAGAAGAGGGAGCATATTTTGACGCTGAGCAGTGACATGTTTACAGTTCAGGGGAAAGGAATGGCCTATGCACTGCTATCCACATGTACAATCTCCAATCTTGGAAAACAGAATAGAGGACTTCAATTTCAAACATAAGAAAAAAAGTTTTATTTTAAAAAATAATATTTATTGAGGGATTAATTTTCACATAAAAATTTAAGTGGGTACAGCCTTTTTTCTCCTGTTTATCAAGGGGTCCTTAGATGGCTGCAGGCCTCAGATAAACATGGTTACACTGTGAAGCACCACCTGCAGGGAGCAGGCCTGGAAGGGCCCTGCCATGTGCATATGTCAAAAGATAGAAAAAGATAGAAAAGTTCAGAAAATGTAAAGAACAAAAGTAAATCCCTTTCCTTGGCAGTTAATTTGCTGTTTCCACTACTTTCTCCCTCCTAATGATTGCTTCTCTAACCAAGGTGTTCTTAAGCAGGTGTGTTCACTAGAATTATCTGTGAAGAGGAAAATATAGCTGCTTAGGACAACCCTGGGGACCAGCAGTCAGTAACTGGAGTAGGACGCAGGCATGCACTCTCTAAAATGCCTACACCCTATTGCACTGTTCATTCATATATATCCTGAACACCTACTTTGGGCACTCCATGTGCCCTGGAGGCTGGCCTGGAAGACAGATAATGAATCCTGCAACCAGCAGGTAGTATGAAGTTGGCCAAGTATTTTGACATTAGAGTAGGGGGAAACAGGAGACCCTGGGGTTGAAGGGGGCAGACACAGGTTCCCCATGCCTTCACTATCATCTATAATACATGGCTGCCCACTCAGCTCCTTTCTAGGAGTGTTTCCAGCCTCCCGCTATATCAATGGGGCTCAAACTTAGATTTGAATCATGTGGCAAAACTTTTAATTATTTTAACTGCATTTTTAAGTATTTTTTTTTTCTTTTCTGGCAAACTTAAGTCTCTGGATGCCCAGGCTGCACTAAATCAATATCTCTGGGGTGGGATCCAGGCATTTGTATTTTTTTTTTTTTTAAATCCCCAAGACATTCTAATAGGTAATCCAGGTAAAGAACTACTATACTGAGTTAATTTCTTGGAGGAGAAAAAAAAAAAAAATCCTGTCTCCCTTTGAAAACGCCTGTAGAAAGGCATGCTCATCTACAAGAGCCTATGTTTTACCTTGTATTTGTCCTTGGCTCCTTTTTTTCTGGAGGCTGGACAATTTTGTGAAAGAAGGTCAGGAGCAAAGCAATGGCAATCAATTCCTGATTGAGGGACTGAGCCACTCCCTTCAAAGGAGAAGAGTCTACTGTGGGGGAGGTCAGAATGTAAGAGTTTGGGGCAAATAACTAAATAACAGTAACATTTGTTGAGATAGCATCACTATTAAACTAAATAATGGACTACTAAGAGCTTATCATCTCCCTCATTTTGCGATGTAAGGCACATTAATTAGAAGTAACCACACTTGACCATTGAGGAAGCCAATGATTAGGAGGGTTAGGCAATTGCCCCATCATCCTGCTGGGAAGTCCAGATGGGCACCTGACTGTCTGATACCAGAGCCTGTGGCACTTTTTACACTTTGCTCAGAAATAAAAACGGGGACTGTTAATAGGATAAATTCTCACTTTGAAAGTCCTACATAGTCTCTATATCTTGCATGTTGAGCAATTTATTTTGTGTATCTTTTCCAAAGTAACCATTGGCTACAATAAAGCTACCTTGCAGAGCATGGATTTACATGAATTTTGATGACACACTTTTTCATCTTTTATACCCTGCTTTGTTTTATATATATATTCAATATATCATTGCTAACTTTACCCACTACTTAATTTTTACCTTCAAGACCGTTAACATTCACTCTCTCAAATACTCTGTACAGTTCTGCAAGGCATGCAGCTCAGAGAGGTTCAGTAACCTGCTCAGGTTAATGTAGCCAGAAGTGGCAATGTAGCCATTTGAACACCAAAGGCCATGCTTCTTCTGTAACCTCATGGCTGAGGAGGGTCCCCAATGGGGCTCCAGCACTAGGGCCACTCACCCTGACTGCCAGACAGAAGGTGGTGGCAGGTTCCAGGGGAAGGAAGCTCTCTGGTTCTCCCAAGGTTCAACTCGGAAATTTTTTTTTTTGTCAGGCAGTTAGTTAAGTTCTGTAAATTATTAATATTGCAACTGTATGTAACATAACTTCCAGATTATAAATAAGAAAAGTCAGCATTCCAAATAACAGATTTACAGACAAGTTTTCAAAACACAACTCAATTGTGGTCGGGCACTGGCTGTAACAGGGTGTTTTTACCTACTTACTCTGGGCTACAGCCTTGTTTCAGGATTACCGGTAACCATTGTCACTGCTTATTTTCCCTGATTAAATGTCACATCAATCGCAACCACAGTTATATAATGGCGGTTCAAATTCCAGAGAAACCTATTTTTGAGCTATATTAGGAAGAATGGTTTGAATGCTAATGAATCAGCCTTCCTGCAACCATTAAATAACCTACCATAACTTTGATATTGTTAAAATCACAGTAATTTTATTTCAATCTGGTTCTGCAAACAGGAAGCTGGATAAATCGTCATTTTACAGTGTTGGTTTACAACTGTGGCCATTGACATATATTTCCATTTGCATCAAAACAATTTTGAATTCTTCTAAAAGATCTATACTAATAAAAGGGTAATATGCTAATTAGACTGGACATCCTTCCAGACAAAGCCACGGTGGCAGGGGCCTAGGCAGAAGTGGTTAGGGGGTGATCAGGCCAGCAGGGGAGCAATTAGGGGGCAACCAGGCTGGCAGGGAAACAGTTAGGGGGCAATCAGGACAGCAGGGGGGCAATCACAATGGCAGGGAGGCAGTTAGGGGGCAATCAAGCCAGCCAGGGGTCAGTTAGGAGGCAGCCAGGCCGGCAGGCTGGCAGTAAGGGCGTGGCCAGGCCAGCAGAGAGGCAGCTAGGGGGTGGCCAGACTAGCGGGGATGAGGGCGGGGTGTGGGTAGGGGTGGGGGGGGGAGGGGGGGTGTTAGAAGGTAACCAGACCAGCAGGGGGCAGTTAGGAGATGATCAGGACAGTAAGCAGAAGCAGTTAAGGGCGATAAGGCAAGCAGGCAGGCAAGCGGTGAGTAGCTAGTGGTCCTGGAGAGATCATGCTTAAACCAGTAGTCAGACATCCCCTAAGGGGTCCCAGATTGGAGAGAGTGCAGGCGGGGCTGAGGGACCCTCACTTGTGCACAAATTTCATGCACTGAGGCCTCTAGTCTATAATAATAAAAATAACCTAAACCAAATATGAAACCCCTAATCAATCACATAAAAATGTAAAACTGGTCACGTTTTCTTCCTTTCTTCTTTCAAATTAAGTTTTCAAATGAGAAATTTCCACCTTAAAGTTCTCAATGCTCTCTCTAGCATTTGACTTGTCTTTCTAATCACGAATGGAATTTGCCCATCAACAGTTAACTGCGCCTACCTGGTGTGGCTCAGTGGTGAGCATGGACAGAGGTCATGGTTCAATTCCTCTTTGGGGCATATGCCCCAATGGGGGTGTGTGCAAGAGGCAGCCCATCAATGATTCTCTCTCATCACTGATATTTCTCTTTCTCCCTCTCCCTGCCTCTCTGAAATCAATAAAAATGTTTTTAAAAACATTTCAAACCAGTTAACTGCATACATGCATTGTGTGTGTGTGTGTGTGTGTGTGTGTGTGTGTGTGTGTGTGTGTAGGGAAGTAGGTCTGTAGGGAATTCTTTCTGTTCTATCCACACTGTCTGCTTTGTATCTCTTAGGACTCAAGACACCATTTTTAAGACAGCGGGTCAGAGATTAATCGGGTTTTTGTTGTTAGTGATAATTTATCTCAAAATGGGGGGGGGGGGGGGGGGGGGCGACTGGGGGCGCGAGAGAAAGGCGGGCTCTCCGGCGTCTCCGCAGACCCCCAGCACCTGTGGGAGCCAGGCGGGGCTCCTGCAGGAGATGAGCCAGGGAAGGCTGGGCGCTGGGACCCTGGCTCTGAGCGCTAGTAATCGCGGGCGTCCGCAGGCAGGTTTTCGATAAAGGAAACGGGAGAGATTATTGCCCTGAAGGCTTTATGAGACTGGACAGGGCAACGGGCTCCGAGCACGGGGTTCGCGGCTGTGACCTGCCCGGCGTGCGGTGACTGACCTGCCGCTTCCTCCCGGCCCCTCGGTGCGCAGCGCCCGGCCGCGCCTCGCCCGCCCACTCCACCCCGAGGCGCGAACACATCCCGGAGCTCGCGGGGGAGCGGGCCATTACCCGAACGCCGCGGCGGGCCGGGCCAGGGGAACGTGGGGCCCCGACTTCAGAGCCGAGAGGAGGAGCCGCAGGCGGAGCGCCCCGCGGCCGCTCGGCGCCATCGCCATGGTCCCGGGTCGCGCCGGCGCCGGGAGAGCGCACGCGTGACCCGCTTCGGGCTCCGGGCGCCGCCGCCCGGGCAGCGCATGCGCCAGGCCTCAGCCCGACCCTCCACCCCCAGTCCCAGCTCCGCGGGGGCGCCGCGCTCCGCCGCACGCTGGGTAGCAATCTGGGTGCTCGCTGATCCGTGACCCAACGGGACGGGCGGTCCTGCGGGCACCGGGGCACGGATCATCTTTACTTGGGATGCCCGCTCCAGCTCCGGCTCCGGAGGACACGTCCCCGTTGGATCTGCCCACCCCGCGCTCGGCGGGGTGACCTGGCGGTGCTGGTGGGCGAGCCGCCCCTGTCCAGCTCACCTAGAGGTGAGAAGGGGGTGGGCTCTGAGTTTGGCTGTCAAGGCGGGTGAAGTGCATTTGCTTCTAGAGATGATGTAATTAAAACATTTTTGTTCTTCATACCACCTCATACTCATTAGAATAGCTGTGGTTTTAAAACAACACAGAAATTAATGTGTTGGAGGATGTGGAGAAACCCTGTGCATTGTTGGAAATCATTGTTGGAAATATACAGTGGTGCAGTGGCTGTGAAAAATAGTAAAAAGAAAATAAAATTAGACATTGTACTACTGTTAAGGCAGTTAGATAGACATGAGCAGAGCAAGGACCGTGGACCAGGTGCAGAAGGTCACCAGGGAACAAAGTTCCTGGGGCCTAGCAAGAGGCAAAACTGGGAAAACAAGAATCTGGTCCCCAACGTAACCTTTCCTCAACTAGCATATCCCTGGTCATGCAGTTTTCATCTGGCTGGTCAGGCGGTTTAGACAATGCCCCAGACCTCCTCCCCCCACAACCCACCCCCCACCCACGCACACCTTTCCTCTTCAGAGATAACATCAAAACCTGGCAAGTGACATCCTGGCTGCCTCAGGACAAGCTGAATTGACTAATGACCTCGGCCCTGGTGCTGACCAATCAGAGGAGATTACCCAGAAAGAGCACTCCTGGAAACTGGAGGAATATTCTATTGAGACCTTCCCCTGAGACCTCCCCTAAGAGTCCCACCTAAAGAGAGAAGTAAATACCCTCAGCACAAAGGACCCAGTGCTGGCTCTTCCCCAGGGGAGCACACCTGAGCCATTCCCTTTCTCCCTCTTCCCTTTAAGGGACCCCATAAGACTTGCAACCGGGAGGGGGGGGGGGAGCAATGGGCAGTGGCAGTTCATCCAATCTAACCCCCTGTACCTGCCTCCAACGCCCCCTTTTTTCTGACTTCTCAGTGAGACAAAGCAGCTCAGCCCAGGCTCTCCTGTTGCTTCTTCTATGCCCTTCCTTGTTTCACTGTCCTAAGTGTGTTTTTCCCGCAGCCAATAAATTTTCCTGCACTCTGTTTCTTAATTGAAATGTTTTCTTCAAGAAGACAAGAACTGAGGTCTTGTCTCACTAGTATAACACTACCATGATCAGGCAATTCCACTTTTGGGTATGTTAACGAAAAAAAACATTGAAACCTGTAAAGAATTTTTTTATGAGTTTATTTGAGCCTTACTGTCGACATATGCCGGGTAGCAGAACCTCAACAGATTGAGATAATGCTCTGAAGAATGGCGGGTTACATTTCTCTATTTATACACTGAAATCAAAGGAGGGACATAGGTGGGTTACAAGAAATTCATTGGTGATGGAGTAAGGAGGCGGGAGAAAGCAAAGCGGTGGGAAACTCCCGGGATTGGATAAAAAGTAAAATGATGGAGGAGTACTCAGGTGAGTGCAGGAACAATTAATATAACAAAGGAATTTGAGGCTTCAGTCCTGGCGCTCACCACATTTGGTTGTGCCCCCGGGGCTCCGGAAAAAGGGAAGCCACAAGTTACCCAGATATCTCACAGATATGTTATCTTAGAGGCAAAAAGGCAAATAGGCTCAGTAAAAAGATCAAAGTTGATCTTTGCCTGGGAAAATATCTGGGACATGACTACCTACTATAACCTGTTAGATATTTAATTTTCAAACCATCTTTTGTGGTTATCTTAGGTCTCTGGGTTTGCAAGACTGCCACGCAGGCCTTCCCTGAGCTTGTCAGGTTAGCATGTGGCTTTTTTCTTTCACAGGTATATACCCCAAAGAATAAAAATCAGGGTCTCAAGTTAATATTTATACATCCAGTTCATAGCAGCATTATTCACAATAGCTCAAAAATGGAAGTAACCCAACTGTGTCTATCAATGAATGAAGGTATAAATACAATGTGTATGAATATAATGGAATATTGTTTCGTCTTAAAAGGTGAATTCTGACAACTGCTACAACATGGATGAACCTTGAGGCCATGGTGCTCAGTGCAATAAGCCAGTCACAAAATAACAAATACTGGATGCTTCCACTTACATATAGGTCTCCAAAGCAGACAAATTCATAGAGATAGAAAGTAGAATGGTGGTTGTCAGGGACCAGGGCAGAGGATTAGGTAGTTTAATAGGGACAGACTTTAAGTTTTGCTAAATGAAAGAGTTATGGAGAAGGAAGGTGGTGATGTTAGCACAATGTCAATGTACTTTATGCCATTGAGTTGTACACTTGAAAATGGTTAAGATGGTAAATTTATGTCATGAGTATTTTGCCACATTATTATTTTTTTCTTCATGACCATATAACTCAAGCATTATAAAGGTTATTAACATCTGGAGATACAGTGGAGGAAAACAACACCCATTTTCTTCTACCATTATGCCTTACTTAACTGGAAATGACTGGCAGATTCATGGCTGGCTTGAATTATTCAAGATGACTACAGCTCCCCTGCATATATTATTTCTTCTCCAAGAAACCCACTGTGCTTCTGTTATAGCCATGGAAAGTTCTGTTACCTCTGCGGTCCTCACTAGCCCATTAGAATTTCTTGATCAGTAAAGGCATGTTTGGCTTAATATGGAAGATGCAAAAATATTTATATTCTACTTTCAACATAAATCTACCCCATTAAATTTCCCAAAAAGAAAGGAAACATATATTTCAGCTGGATGCTGTCATTTGAATTTCACAAATCTTTGGTAGGGCCAACATTTTATTTTTTCCTGAAATGTTTATTGGGTTTCTTGTCAGAGATGATGAGGACTAAAAATAATTGTGTGTAATTAGCACCAGTTATCCTACTTGTAAGCAAAATGGCAGCACTGTGACATTTTAGATTATTGGGGTCACAATTTAAAGTACACATTTGAGAACTAGTCCTTTATAGTGTAGTTAAAATTATAGTATAGTTTAAAAATAACTATGTTTCTGTACCAGGCACTTTATGATGCATTATCTTATTTTATTCTTCACACCAATCTTATACACTTTGCTCTCTCTATGTGTAGATGAGGAAACTAAGGCTAAGAGAGATTAGGAAGCAGGCCCCAGATGTTTAACTAAACAGTGGCAGAGCGGGATTTGTCTCTTCAGTTATAGAATCCTGCATGTGAATTATTACATATTATAGAATTCACTGCAGTAGCATCACTATTGTGATCAGTTTTGTGATAGAAGGCTCTGCAATCATCCTATAAACACCTTTTTATTTTTTAAATCCTCACCCAAGGATATTTTTTCCAATAATTTCTAGAGAGAGTGGAAGGGAGGGAGGGTGGGGAGATGGAGAAACGTTGACATGAGATAGACACATCAATTAGTTGCCTCCTACATGCACCCTACTGGGACTAGGGATCAAACCGGCAACCCAGGTATGTGCCCTTGACTGGGAATTGAACCCATGACCCTTTGGTCCACAGGTTGATGCTCTAACCACTTAACTGGCCAGGGCTAAACACCTATTTTTATTTATATTAGTATTAGAAGCCTGATGCACAAAGATTCATGCAAGAAAGGGCATTCCTTTCCCTGGCTGCTGGCATCACCTTCGCTTTGTCGTGAGTCACCTTTCCGCCTTCCTATGCTGCCCAGAGGCTCAGAGTAGCTGAGGTGATGTGGAACACCCCAGGCCACTGAGTGCCTATGTACGCAAATTAATCTGTTGGGTTATTTTGCATACTCACTCCTGATTGGCTGGTGGGAGTCATGAAGGTATGGTCAATTAGCATGCTACTCTTTTTTTAGGTAGAGGACTGAGGGAGGGGGGGGAGGAGTGTACCTAAGCCCAGCCTGCACCCTCTTCAATCTGGGACCTTTTGAGGGATGGGGTCAGGTCTAAATGGGCAATCATACATCCCTCTCACAATCCAGGACTGCTGGCTCACAACTGCTCGCCTGCCTGCCTTCCTCATTGCCTCTAACTGCTTCTGCCTGCCAGCCTGATCACCTCCTAACCACTCCCCTGCCAGCCTGATTGATATCTAATTGCTCCCCTGCCAGCCTATTTGCCTCCAACTTCCCTCCTCTGCCAGCCTGGTCACCCCAACTGCCCTACTCTGCAGGTTGATTGCCCCCAACTGCCCTCCCTTGCAGGCCTGGTCCCTCCCAACTGCTCTCCCCTGCTGGCCATCTTGTGTCCACATGGGGGCAGCCATCTTGTGTGTTAGAGTGATGGTCAATTTGCATATTACTCTTTTATTAGATAGGATAGAGGCCTGGTGCATGGGTGGGGGCCAGCTGTTTTTCCCTGGTGTCCTGGATCAGGGTGTGGATTCCCTTGGGGCGTGGGGTGGCCTGGGCGAAGAGCCTGTGGTGGTTTGCAGGCTGGCCCTGGTTACCCAAGCAGAGGCCCTGGTATCTGGGATTTATCTCCTACAATTGAAACTTTGTTGCCTGGAGCAGAGCCAAGTCTCCTGCTTGCTCCCTGGCGGCAGCCTTTGTTGGTATTTATGTATCTTCTATAATTGAAACTTTGTAGCCTGGAGTGAAAGCCTGAGCCAGCCAGGGCTACAGAGCTTGGCCCGGAACAACCCTAGCCTCCTGCTCTTCCAACTCAGTGGCTGCCGCCAGTTCTGTTGGAATTTATTTAACTTTTATAATTGAAACTTTGTAGCCTTAAGCAGAGGCCTGGGCAGGCCAGGGTGTGAGGAAAGCTTGGCTTCCTCCATCACCAGGAAAACCCATGCCACCTTCCTGCTCTCTGTGGCCGCAGCCCTCTTGGTTGGGGTTAATTTGCATGCTCGCTCTGATTGACTGATGGGTGTGGCTTGTGGGTGTAGTGGAGTGATGGTTAATTTGCATATTACTCTTATTAGATAGGATAATTAGAAAAACTGTTCCCTATAAATAACACACATTAAAATGTTCAGCAAAATACTATTTAAAACATTTTGTAAGAAATAATTTTTCTTATTTTTGAAAACCTAACTTCATATTCTGGACTCAAAGCAAAGATTATGACCATAGCAACAAGTGGTCAATCTGCCAAGCAAGACTGAGCTGGAAGTGGGTCTTATTTAGGGTCTAAATATCTTTTTGGAACCAATCATGGATACTTTCTTTCTCATTTTGTAGTCTGTCATCTCACCTGGTTTCCGCTCAGGACTGCTGTTTTTGCAGTGCTTGGGCCTCCTACCAAATTCCTCCGAAACCAATTACCGTAGACTCTTTTCTGCCCAGGTTTGAGAGAGTGGGGCGGAAGGAACAGCCTCTGTGCCGTGTCTGAGGGATGGCAGTGCTAGCTTTCATCCCGAGACAAAATGCTCTTTTTACCATCAGCTTTCTCTCTTCTGCCAATAACAGGTAGTGAAAGAGGATTTTGTATCAGAACAAAATGGTCAAATCCCAGTGGAGAACCATAAACTGTCATTTATACAAACACACATCATTTCAATGGATTACATTTAATGTACAAAATTTTATTTTTAAAAAGTCAATTAAAATACTTTCCACTTTTGCCTCTTATCAATAATCATTCAATCACCTTGGAAGCTAAAGATTTTACAACACTGTTAAAATAGAGGTACAGGGAAAGAACTCACCCAGCCCCACTAGCAAAGCCTGGGACCCTTTCCCCTCACTTTCCTTTTGGTCTTTTGATCAATGCTGTGCAGCAACTAAATAGCAAGCCTGCAAATGTGTGGTGAGAAAACAGAGGTTCACAACTTTATCACAGGCTCTTCTCAACAGGAGTGATTTTGCCTTCCAGGGAACACCTGGCACTGTCCAGAGACATCTGTGTCACAACTGAGGAAGTGAGGAGGGGGACAACAGGGCTATTGGCATCTAGTGGGTGGAGGCCAGGGTTGTTCCCAAACCTCGTACAATGTACAGGACAGTCCCCTACAGCAGAGTGATCCGGACAAGATGCCAGTGGTACTAGTATTAGTAGTACCACTTTCTGCTTTTTCTCCCATTCTCCCGTGAGAGAGAGAAAGAGAGAGAGAGAGAGAGAGAGAGAGAGAGAGAGAGAGAGAGGGAGTGTGTGTGTGTGTGTGTGTGTGTGTGTGTGTGTATGTATGTATGTAACTGCTGGGAAAGATTTAGAATCAGAACCAACAATACATATATACCCTCACCAGACACTAGAATCAGTCAGACTGACCACACTGAACCAGGATAAACTAGGGAGCTATTGAACAGCGATCAGTCCTGAGGCTCCCCTGAGAGCCTGCTGCCTCCTCAGGGCATACAGGTTGGGAAAGTACCTAAAGTGCCAGGATGCTAAGAAAGAACTTAAAAACTTAATCAAGAATTTTTGTAGTTGTCATAATTCATAGAAATTTCTTGCAACAACTGCCTGGAAAATTGTCATGATCCATATTTTCCCCTTCTTAGTACAACTTAAAGTCCCTTCAGTTAATTTACGGGGTGGATATTGCATGCAATTCTTGAAGCTTGTAGTGACTGATACAACATTTGATACTGATGTTAACAGACCCTATAACTGGAATGAGCTGTGGTAGTGATACAAAAAAAAATAGATTTTTTTTCTGTACTTTATAATAGGAGCCTATGTGGAGAAAAGAGCAAAAAATAAGAAAGTTGGTTTAGTTTACATCCTTCAAATTTTTTTAGCATAATTGGCGGTTATGGGATAAAGTGAAAGAAAATGGTCCTCCTAAAATATTTTTGCTTTCCCTTTCAAAACTCATCAGACTTCTTTTTTCTTTTCTTTTTTAAATCTTCACCTGAGGATACTTTTGCATTGATTTTTAGAGAGAGTGAAAGACCGAGAGAAATACCAATGTGAGAGAAACACATAGATTGGTTACCTCCTGCTCGCACCCTGACCAGGGCCTGGGCAGGGGAGGATCTTGCAACCAAGGTATATGCTTCCTGACTGGAATCAAACTGGGAGCCTTCAGTCTGCAGGCCAAGCCAAACCTGCCAGGGCAAGGCTCTTTTTTCATCAAGGCTCAAGCATTCAGTTTAGCGTAGGGGTGTCGAACTCAATCAGAGAAGGGGCCAAAATCAAAAATCCAGCCTAAATCGCGGGCCGAATGGTTTACTGAACAGTCATAAACTGTCATTGTGATGGAAACGCAGCGGAGTGCAGTGATGACAGCGCGGTGCGGGCCACATTGCAAGGCCTGGCGGGACGGATTTGGCCCGCGGGCCTTGTGTTTGACACATGTGGTTTAGCGTGTTGTTTGCTGTAGGTTTCTTTTCCATTTCCAGTTATTAAATGCAGGAAATGATTTTTGTGTAGACACAGAACCCAGATCGGTGAGGCAGCCCACTCTCAGTGGCTCATTCACTATGTGAGGAGATGACTTCATGCTGCCGAAGCTGCTTCTCTAGTTAGTTCTGGCTGATAGACCCCAAAAAGTTCAAAAGGTCTATGCGTGAGCAATGGTAGAGCGCCCGGGCCAGCTTTCCCACGGTGGCCCCCTTACTGCCTTCCCTCATCAGCCACTTCTGGAGCATCTGGTAAACCTTCTCTTTTAATCCATCTCTCTCATAGTCGTGGTCAATTTCATCAATCTGAGATTCAGTGAAGCCCAGTTTACGGGCACAATTTTTCCAGGTCCTTCCCAGATTGTCCCTGACTGGGTCCAGGTGTGTATCAGTCAGACTAGTGGTATTATCTGCCAAAAAGAAAGGAGAAGGCATCAGGCTGAAACCCATTTGAACATTCTAGCTTCAAAAACCTGTATAAAGTGAAGAGCACCTGGAGTCCAGTGGAAAAGATAACTTCTTCGTTATATAGCTGTTGACTCCAGTGATACTTTACATGTCTGCAAGCCCATTAGGGGAGTTTTTGTGAATTAAAATAAGGAACTTCTTCCTCCTAGCAGATGCATCTCTGAGCTGCAGCTGATGGCTTTGGGATTAAAACCCTTGCCTGACTGTTAGGCTGCTTTAGACAACCTTAACCAGTGACCCTGTTTATACCAGATCTTCCTGATGTAAATGAGAAAACACCATTTATTTCCTTCTGGGTATTTTCCACTTACATATAGCCAGAGTTAAGGTCACTCAACTCCTGAGCCCCTTCACCCAACAGTTCTCTTTCCTCTTATTTAATCAAGGAAACCAAGACCATCAAGTGCAAAACACCTACTCAAAGACAATGCCTCCCCTGTCTTTTAAGGGATGAGGCATGTATATTCTTCAAGGTCTATTTCTGGACTCCTCCCTCCCTGCCTCAAATGTTGTCCTCTCTTCTCCAATAGCCATAACCTCCCTCTTTCTACTGGTTCCTGCCTTTAGGCCTTCACAAAAATGACAAAGGGAAACAGACATAGGAAATAATCACCACAAACAAACCATACCTCTTTATCCTCATTCTACCTCAGAAAGCTGAATATAAAGAAAAAGACATCTTATTTTTGCCCCTTAACTCCCATTATTTCCTCAGCTCCCCATAATGCAGCTGTTATCACCACCACTGGACATCAGCAATCCCCAAACCTCCCAAGATATCTGACAAATTTCGTCACTACCTTTCTGCAAGAGGGAACCCTGGGTTTCATCAGATTCTTAAAGACACCCTTGCCTTCCCAAATTTAGGAACCTATGCTCTAGGTATTTTAAAAACTACCTAGACCAGGGATTGGCAGCCTGTGGCCCAATGCTGGCCCGGGGCCTACTTCTGTAAACACTGGTTTACTGGAACACAGCCATCCACACACGTATTGTCTGTGGCTGCTACTGCCCTGCAGTGTAAATTGAGTAGTTGCAACAGAGACCTCAAGGCCAATGAAGCCTAAAACATTTACTATCTAGACCTTAATAGAAAAAAAAAAAAATGTGCCAACCCTAGGGTTAATCAGAAAGCTGGGTTCTTACATCACATTGTTTAGGCCTAATGACTGCTTTCTCCAGGTTGTGTTTTGGGATTAATGTTATAAGCCTGCATAGTGGGACGCTACAAGAGAAAGTCCTCATTTTTATTACAAAGGTGCTGTTAAAGAGCACAGTCTCCTATTGTTTACACAATTCCTTCTGATGAAGTCCTGAAAGAGCTCTGTCCTAGGTCTGGATAATGATGTTGATGATTATCATAACCTAATCCTTTTGTAGATCTTACTATGTGCCAGGCAGTGTTCTAAGCTCTTTTTACATCTTGACTCATTTAATTTTCACAACAATCCATGAATTAGCTATTGTAGTAATTTCTCCCATACTATAAATAAATAAATTACAAAGACATTATATGGAAATTACACTGATATTTTACAGAGGAAATGGGACAACTTTCAGAAAGAATAACCAGATACACTTTAGGATTCCACCTCAACCCTCTCAACAAGTAAGAAAGTTCAAGGTTTCTAGACAATGGGTCCTTAAAGAGTATCTTACCAAAGATATATTGGTACTTAGAAGCTGGCTCTTCCCAGTTCACATATGTGCTATCCAGTAATGGCAAGTTCACTCCAACCTCCATACGATTATTGTCTCCAATCTGAACGCCAGCACTGTTGTATATGGCATATTTTGCAGTCTCATCTGAAGAGAGAAGCACACAGGTAAGCACACCTAAATCAAAGGTAAAGTGAAAAATGAAACATTAAAGAGCAGGGCTACACTTTAAATGTTAAGTTAAACTATTTATTCTATGCCACCTTGTAAGACTTTCCTTTTTAAAATGTGGCTGAAGCACACCCATTAGAATGGCTACTATCAAAAACAGAAAATAACAAGTGTTGACAAGGATATAGAGAAATTGGAACTCTTGCGTGCTAATGTGGGAATACAAAATGGTACAGCCTCTGTGGTAACAGTATGGCAGTTCTTCCAAAAATTAAAAATAGAATTACCCTATGTTCCAACAATTCCTTTTCTGGGTATATACTCCAAAGTATTGAAAGCAGAGTCCCTATGCAGCTTTATTCACAATAGCCAAAAAGTGAAAGCCACTCAGTGTCCATCAATAGATGAATGGATACACAAAACACGGTGTATACATACAATGGGATATTATTTGGCCTTAAAAATGAAGGAAATTCTGACACACATTACAACATGAATGAACCTTTAGAACATTATACTAACTGAAGATAAATGCTGTTCCATTGATTCCAGTTACATGAGGTACCTAAAGGAATTAAATTCATAGACATAGGAAGTAGAAGGCTGGTTGCCAGGGGCTGGGAGGAGAAAGGAAAATGGGAATTTGTTGTGTGATGAGTATAGAGTCTCAGTTAAGGAAGAGGAAAAGAGTTCTGGAAATGGATGATGGTGACAATGTGATTTTCATCACAAATGGTAGCCTTTGGCCTATATGAGATTAGAAATAAAAACATCTAAGTCTTATTTCTTATCTTCAGAAAATAGCAAGTAAAGAATAGAAGCAGGTCTCTTTGCTTGCACCAGAGATGGGGTATAATGGGACCATTGTGATTCAGGCTAGAGTGGAAGTTACAAAACCTATAAACCAACACGTGTAGGCAGCTGCACTGAATCCTACCCAAACTGAACTACCCAGGCCACGTGGTTAGGTGGAGACTATTTCAAGGTGTAAGCTGCATCTGGCAGCTGAAGAATGAACAATTTGCCCTGTGTTACCTTATAGTCTACAACAGAGTTAATGGCTGTTTTATTGGACTGAAAGGCCTCTTTACCTCTTGATGTCAGGGAGATGAATGGAATGGTGGGAGTGTTTCCCAGCAGGTTGGTCTCAGGCACTGGAGTTTTATGCAGGCCTGGTATCTGGTTTGCATCTGGCCCAGAACAAAATCTAGATTCTACTGTTCCCGCACCCAATGGTCTTGCTATAAAACCATATGGATTATATGGAGTCCAGGGGAGTCCTTGGGATTGGCAGGTCAATCCAGCTGGTTGGTGTACTGCATTCCCAGGACTGGCTGTGTTGGAAGAAGCAAAGCCTCTCATCCCTGGGTTTTGAACAGTCTCATAAGGTCTTGGCTGTGCAAAAGGGTCATGGGAGACCCTTCGCCTCCTTTCCTCCTCTCTGTTATAAGCCACACCCTGTCTGGGTTGCTGTTTTGTTTGCTTGTCCATGCGGCTGCCAAAAAGATGGTAGTTGGCTTCCTCCTGGAGTTTGTTCTGCAGGCTGCACTCATTCTCCTCCGGCTGGTAGTCTGGGGAGGGAGCAAACCAGGATTCCTCCACAGGACCCATCCTGAGTCCCTGTGAACTGTGCAGCGAACCAGGCTGTTCTGTGGCTAAGAAGAAATGTTCAACATTGGAGAGAGTTTCATGAAACATTAAACAGTAAAATTAAACCTGAGCCCCATAATGAATCTGTCCTCAGAGTAAAATACTGAAAACACTAAGAATAAGTAAATTCTTTTATTTCTTTTTTTGTTAATCCTCACCAAAGGATAGTTTCCTATTGATTTCTTTTTAGAGAGAGTGGAAGGGAGAGGGAGATGCAGAGAAAGATGCATCTATTGGTTGCCTCCTGCATGCACCCCAACCAGGGCCAGGGATCAAGCTTGTAACGAAGGTTCAAGACCTTATCAGAATCGAACCCTGGACCCTTCAGTCCGCAGGCCAATGCTCTACCCACTGAGCCAAGCGAGCTAAGGCTGGCCCTCTTCTTTATATGGAATGAGTAGGAGCCTCTGCCTGGCAGTGAGAGAGCACTAGGGAAGTTATAATAAGCAATAAGGTGTGTGTGGCAGGAATGACCAAGAAAGAAAAGGACTGTGCAAGCAGTGAGCTGGCTGTCTCCTGTGTGATCCAGGGATGGAAAATAAGTGCAACAGCTCTGGCCCTGGTTAGAGTCTGACCCATGCACTGAAGGGTCGTGGATTCTAGTCCTGGTCAGGAGCACATACCTGGCTGCAGGTCTGCTCTAAAGCCCTGGTTGGGGCATGTGTGAGAGACAACTAATCAATGTGTCTCTCACATCCATGTTCCCTCTCTCTTCCTCCTTCCCTCCCTTCCACTCTAATCCACTGTACACCATAAGTGTCTGTAGATGCAAGGTGTGGACCTTCCCCACATGCCATGTGTGTCTATAAAAAATAAAAATAAAATGTTTTCCCTAAGTGGCAGTCCTGATCAACTTTTAAATTATTTTTCATGAGAACTTTCAGCTGAAAATATTTAAGAACACTCAAATTGTGAGTAATATATTTATTTTTATAATATTCATTGCAAAGTGATTTTTTAAATTTAATTTAAAATATTGTGGTGTGTGGGGATTGTTTCTGTTTTGGATACATGGCAGTTAACTGATTAAAAATTAATGGAAAAATATCCTCGTGTGAGGATTAACAGCAACAAAAAAGAGCAGCTGCTCTGTGCTGTTTTCCATGGATCCTTTCGTTCTTTAAAAGCCCTAGGAGTAATTATCATGATTTGATGGATGAGGTTTAAGAAGTTAAGTGCCCTAGAACAGATAGATAACAAATGGCTTCAAACTCTTCTAGTCTGCCTTCCCTTTTGTTTAAGAAAAAAGTAGCCCTGCTTGACTCTAACACCAACCTCTCTGTACTCTGGGTCCAGTCATCTCTTACCTTCTCAAGGACTTGGCTCCCACATGTCTCCTTTTTCCCAAGTCATCACTTTCTCCCTATCAGTTATTTTAGGACTCATGTTCAGGACAGTTTATGATTTTGGTGAACTCAATGTTACTTAATATTTCAAATATATGTATCTTGGCTCTGAATCTACACTAATAAAAGAGAAACATGCAAATTAACCATCACTCGCTCTACACACCAGCCAATCAGAGGGAATATACAAATTAGAAGGAGAAAAATGGCGGCTGCCTAGCTGCTCCAGGCATGGAGTGTCCAGGCAGGACACATGCTATGGGAGGGAGGGCAGGGGCATAGGGATCTACAGGAGCGGCACTCTGGCCACAGCGAAGGCAAAGACTGTAGACTCTGGCCAGAATCTGCAGCAAAGGCAACAAACTCCAACTGCAGTGAAGGCCTGGGTCCCAGATGCTGGAGGAAAACCGATGCTGGGAGCCAAGGGAAGGAAGACCTATTGCACGAATCTCTTCGTGCAACGGGCTTCTAGTATATTATAAATTTCTTTGTGACAGGTGTTAAATTATATAGCTTCTTCTGTTTTTCATATGGTCGTGAATAATATTTTAGAGAGTGAAGTGCATGTTTGAGCAAACAAGTAGTGGATAAATACATTTCCAACCACAGTCTAAGTTACCTGAGTCTGACCTGCTTGGAGGCTCTGCTACACAATCTATTTGGAGAGACTGCATTCTCTTCACAACTTCACTTTCGCTAGGGTACTCTTTCTACAACACAGAGCAAAATACATATGTTAGTAAATGGAGAAAATAGTTCTAGAAAATTATTTTAAGAAGAATTAATCCTTTCAGAAGGTAGAAATTTTACATAGCTCTTATAAGCAGTAAATATTAAAAAGAATAAATGGTTTTCCCAAATAGTCAAACCAATCTTAAAAAAAAAAAAAAGAGGAACAGCCGAAACCGGTTTGGCTCAGTGGTAGAGCGTTGGTCTGCGGACTGAAAGGTCCCAGGTTCGATTCCGGTCAGGGGCATGTACGTTGGTTGCGGGCACATCCCCAGTAGGGGGTGTGCAAGAGGCAGCTGGTCGATGTTTCTCTCTCATCGACGTTTCTAGCTCTCTATCTCTCTCCCTTACTCTCTGTAAAAAATCAATAAAATATATTTTTTTTAAAAAAGAGGAACAAAGTTGGAAGGTTCACACTTTCTGATTTCAAAAATCTCTACAAAGCTAGAGTAATCAAAACAAGTGGTATAGCCTAAGACATATAGTCCAGCAATTTTCAAACTTGTTCTGCCATTTGGTCAATTTGCATATTAGGGTTTTATTATATAGGATTGTTTTCTCTTGATAGTTATGTTTTAATACACAAAATATATAAGTACACATTCCTTTTAAAAGACTCAAATTGGCTGGCACCGGTTTGGCTCAGTGGATAGAGCGTCGGCCTGCGGACTGAAAGGTCCCGGGTTCGATTCCGGTCAAGGGCATGTACCTTGGTTGCGGGCACATCCCCAGAAATAAATACCAAATTCTGTGGCACACCCAAAAATATATTACATTTTTTGCTGATCTGATTTTTAAAAAGGGTATTTTGATTTATTCATGCCAGACAGCTACTGTTGTACTGGCTGTTGTCATTTTTTTATTTCACAATATAAGGAAAGAGAGGTCAGTGTCCCTGACTAAATAGTCAGGAATTGCATATTTTAAAAATTCTTGCAACACACAGGTTGAAAATCACTGTGCTAAGTGAATATGCTAGATACAAAAACACGAATATTATGTGATCACATATCAGTGGGGTACCTAAAATAGGCCAATTCATAGAGACAGAAAGTAAAACAGAGGTTACCAGGAGCTGGGCAGATAAAAGAATGTGGAGTATAATGGATACAGTTTCTGTTTGGGGTTTTAAAATGTGGAAATGGAAACTGCTGATGGTTGCAAAACATTGTGAAAGTATTTAATGCTTCTGCACTGTATACTTAAAAATGGTTATTATGAAAAAAAATGGTTATTATGATGGCAAATCTTATGTATCTTACCCACAATAAAAAAATTTATTCCTACAAAATAATAATACTCATTATAGAAAATGTAAGGATTTATATTTAAAAAGAAAGTTACACATTGTGCCTTCACTCAAAGAAAAAGAATTAACATTATGGTATTTTCTTCAAGTCTTTTTTCTTAGTCATACTTGAATTTTGTTCCTAATAGACTACAAGCTACATAGGTAGGTATTTAAAAATATTCACTGAATTCACTGAGTGATTTCAGGGAGACTGTTAGAGGGTGTTAATTATGTACAAAGTTTGTAGTATTTTATAGATTGCTTTTTATTTAACCAGATAAGTATTTTTATGTTATTTTAATTTATAAAAGTAACTAGTGGCCCTGTGCACAAAATTCATGCACTAAGGGGGAAGGGAGGATCCCTCAGTCCAGCCTGCACCCTCTCACAGTCCGGGACCCCTCAGGGGACGTCCACCCCTGGGAATCGGGCCAAAGCCGGCAGTCAGACCTCTTGCAGTCAGGGACTTGTGCACTCTGGAACCTCTCGCTACTTACAGCCTGCATGCAGTGGAGGCGGGAGAGGCTCCAGCCACCACCACATGCTTGCCAGCTATGAGCTGGCTTCTGGCTGAATGGTGCTCCCTCTATGGGAGCATACTAACCACCAGGGGGCAGCTCCTTTGTTGAGCATCTACCCCTGGTAGTCAGTGTGTGTCACAGTAGTTGGTCATTCTGGTTGTTCTGCCATTTGGTCAATTTGCATATTAGGGTTTTATTATATAGGATTGTTTTCTCTTGATAGTTATGTTTTAATACACAAAATATATAAGTACACATTCCTTTTAAAAGACTCAAATTGGCCGGCACCGGTTTGGCTCAGTGGATAGAGCGTCGGCCTGCGGACTGAAAGGTCCCGGGTTCGATTCCGGTCAAGGGCATGTACCTTGGTTGCGGGCACATCCCCAGTAGGGGGTGTGCAAGAGGCAGCTGGTCGATGATTCTCTCTCATCGACGTTTCTAACTCTCTATCCCTTTCTCTTTCCCTCTGTGAAAAATCAATAAAATATATTAAAAAAAAAAAAAGACTCAAATTGTACACAATCACACAGAACAACACTTGAAAGTTGTTTCTTCCAACCCACACTCTTTTTCACTCCCTAGAGGTAATCCTTACTCAGAGCAGGTTGTTCATCCTTTTAATCTCTCTAGGTATTTGCATATGTATTTGTAAATATATATATGTGTACATATATATGTACATATACACACAAATATACTCAAAAGGATCATACTCTGTATATTTTGACATTTTTTCCACTAACAAGTCTTCAAGATCTTTCTGTATCATTATATGTTAGTTTCTATCTCTATTAAATGGTTATATATTTTGTGGTTTCAATGAATTATAATTTATATATATTTACTTATGAATTATTTGGGTTGTTTCCAATTTTTTATTCTAAGAAACTAGGGTGCAAGGAACTCCTAGTCCTAAATCCTTGAGCATACATGTGAGTAGGATAGATTAAGAGTAGAATTTCTGCGAAAATTATGTGCTTTTAGAAGTTTGATAGATGCTTCATTTTCAATAAACTTCACCAATTCATAGTCTTGTTGTTGTTGCTCATCCTTATTCGAGGATATTTTTTCCATTGATTTTTTTTTTTTAGAAAGAATGGAATGGAATGGAATGGAATGGATGGAAAGAGAGAGAGAGAGAGAGAGAGACAGACAGACAGACAGACATCAATGTGAGAAAGACACATCTACTGGCTGCTCGCACATGCCCTGACACGGGCTGGGGATCGAGCCTGCAATGGAGGTACACACCCTTGCCTAGAATCGAACCTGTGACCCTTCAGTCCATGGGCTGACACTCCAACCACTGAGCCAAAGTGGCTAGAACAACCAATTCACACTTTTAACAAATAGTTTGAGGGGATTGCTTCTTACTCTGCATTTTCACCAACAGTTGGTATTACCAATCTTTTAAAAATGTTGATCTTAGTGATGAAAAATTATAACCAATTCATTCTGCTTTTCTCTATTAATGAGGCCATGTATCTTTTTTATTGTCCATTGATGGATTCATTGGTCATATTTTATTCAGGTCCATCGCTTCTATATTAAGTGTGACTGGCCTGTAATTTTCCTTTCTTTCCTTCCTTCTTTGAATCTTCTTTTTCAAGTCTGGGGAAAAAAGGATATGCTAGTCTCATAAAATGAGTCTGGGAGAGTTCTCTTCTCTATTGTCTGGACAAACTTATAAGATTAAAATAACGTATTCATTGAATATTTAGTAGAAATCAAATTTGCAGATGTATTTGATTCCATAGCTATCTGGTTGTGGACTTTTCTTTATGGGAAGAATTTTTCATCACTGATTCTATCTTTTTTAATGGTCATAGGAATAGCAGGTTTTTAACTATATTTGAGTCTGTTTTGCTAAGTTATACTTTATTTCTAGAAATTTTCCCATTTTATCTAAGTTCTAAAATTAGCAAAAAGTGGGCCAAAATATCCTCTTAATACCACATTGATGTTTACAGGAGCTACAGTAATGCCTCTTTACTCATTATTTCAGTCTTATTTCTATTTTCCCTGATTGGTCTTAAATAGTTGATTTTATTACCTTTTTCAAAGAACCAGTGTTTAAATTTTTTGATTCTCTATTAGCTGCTTTCTTTGTCACTAATTTGTGCTCTCTCTCTCTCTCTCTCTTTTTTTTTTTTTTTTTTACCTGTTTAACAATTTTTTTATTTTACATTTAAAAATTTTTTTATTGTTCAGATTATTACATTTGTTCCTCTTCCCCACTCCCACCCCCAGCCATAGCTCCCTCCCACCGGTTCCATCCTACCCCATGCCCTTACCCTACCCCCCACACTGTCCTCATGCATAGGTGTATGATTTTCATCCAGTCTCTTCCTGTACGCCCCACACCAATTTCCCCACAAGGACTGTCAGTCCACTCCCTTTCTATGCCCCTGATTCTATTATATTCACCAGATTATTCTGTTCATCAGATTTTTTATTCACTTTATCTTTAGATTCACCTGTTGACAGATATGTATTTGTTGTTCATAATTTTTATCTTTACCTTTTACTTCTTTCTCTTCTTTAAGAATACCTTTCAGCATTTATATAATACTGGTTTGGCGGTGATGAACTCCTTCAGCTTTTTCTTACCTGTGAAGCTCTTTATCTGACCTTCAATTCTGAATGATAACTTTGTTGGTAGAGTAATCTTGGTTGTAGATTCTTGCTACTCATCACTTTGAATATTTCTTGCCAATCCCATCTGGCTTGCATAGTTTCTGTTGAGAGATCAGCTGACAATTGTATGGGTGATCCTATGTAGGTTACTAACTCTTTTTCTCTTGCTGCTTTTAATATTCTCTCTTTGTCTTTTGTTCTTAGAATTTTAATTATGTGGCTTGGTATGGTCCTCTTTAGATTTTTTTGTTTGGGGTTCTGTGTGCTTCCTGGACTTGTAAGTCTTTTTCTTTCACCTGTTGGGGGAAGTTTTCTGTTATTATTTCTTCAAATAGATTTTTAATATCTTGCTGATAATTCAGATGTTGGTATGCTTGAAGTTGTCCCAGAGGCTCCTTACACTATCTTCATATTTTTGGATTATTTTTTCTTTTTGCTTTTCTGGTTGGGCTTTTTGCTTCTTTGTATTTCAAATCTTTGACTTGATTCTTGCGATCCTCTAGTCCTCTCTTGGATCTCTATATATTATTCTTTATTTCAGTCAGTGTATGCTTAATTTCTAGATGGTCCTTTTTCATATCCTTGAGGGTCTCACTAAATTTCTCGGAGGTTTGTTGAGTAACCTTATGACAGTGGTTTTGAACTCTATATCCAGTTGTTTGCTTTCCTCCATTTCTTTCATTTGTGACCTGTTTCTTTGTCTCCACATTTTAGCTGCTTCCCTGTGTTGATAGAGTGGCTTTGTGTGGTAGGTGTACTATAGGGCCCAGTGGCTCAGCCTCCCCAGTTACTTGAAGTGAACACTCTTGGTGCACCCCTTTGTGGGCTGTGCGCATAGTCTTGTTGTAGTTAAGCCTTGATTGTTGTTGGTATCACTGGGAGGAATTGACCTCCAGGCACATTGGCTGTGAGGAGCAGCTGTGTCTATGATGGGAGAACTTCTGTGCTGGAGACACTCTTATGAGATAAGACTTGATTCAGTGGGGCTTTGATGCTCACTGAGTCTGCCCCCTGAGTGTGTCCCTTATGGATCTGAGGAGTTGTAATCTGGATGGTCCTACTCTGACCCCTGGGTACACTGGCTCTTATATCTCCAAGGAGGTGCTAATTTAGCCTTTGTCTGAAACCAACCAGCAGGAGCTACAGAGAGATCTATAGATTCCTCTTCTTTGTTTGAGTTTTGGAGATGCTCAGATGAGGCCCAGCTGTGAAGCAATGCAAGCTGCTGTGAGGCCTTGGGCTTTCTTTTGGATGTTCTGGGTCTCTGTGACTTAGCTGCAGTTTGATAGGTAAGTTTAGATTTCAAAGGAGTAGGCCATATATATGCAAAAGCCTCTGTGCTCAGCTTGGATAGGGCAGAGTCTCAGGGTGGAACAAACAGCAATGGCTTCCCATAAGCCCTAAGAGGCCCCTGAGTCTCAATGTCCCTTGGTAATCGCTGCAAGAACCTCTAAGAGAAAGTTGCTCTCAAGTTCTGCCTGCTGCTAGACAGTCCGGTTTCTCCCGCTATGAGTCTGGGTCCTCAGAGTCTCACCTGAAACTGGAGTTCAGAGCCGTCGGGAGCTTGTATCTCCCTCGAGCTTGAAAAAGCCAGCTGCGTACTCGGTTGCCAGCCCTCTCTGTGCACATGCCTCTATATCTCTGCATTTTACTTCTGCAGTTCCTCTGAGTCTCAGTGTGCTTTTCTCTTCCCTATGCCACCATCTTGGTTTCTCCTCCATTTTGTAGATCTATGCTCTTCTCTTTTTACTGCTTTCTATTTGCTCTATGTTTGTTTTGCTATCTTCTCTCAATGAATGCTTGGCTAATTCATTTTCAGACTTTCATATATATATATATATATAAATCAATGACTATATTTTACTATTAATTACTCCTTTGCAAATTCTGTACATTTTAATATGTAGCATTTTGTTAGCTCCAAATATTTTCTAAATTCCATTTTTTTTTTTTTACCCAAAGGGTATTTAAAAATTTATCTGTTAATGTCTAACCAATGGAATTTTCTAATTATCTTCTCAGATTAATTTTTAGCATAACTGAAATGCAGTCAGAGAATGCAATACTCTTTATATAATCACAATCCTTCAAACTGATTGAGACTTGTTTTATATTCCAGTACAAGGTCAATTTGTGAAAAGGTTCTGTATGTTCAGGAAAAGCCTTTAAAGATAAGAATTCTGCAGTTATTATATTAGGCACACTGTTTTATATATTTCCATTAGGTCAAATGTGTTAATTATGTTCTTCAAAGTTTCTATATCCTTATTGACAAATTTTGTTTGTTCTACGAATTAGAAGGAAATTTGTATTAAGATCTCCCAACAATGATTGTGGATTTGTCTATTTCTTCTTTGAGTTTTGCCAATTTTTGCTTTCCATACTTTGAGGCCATGTTTTCATGAACATGTACATATTTATAGCTATTATTATTAACCTCATTAATTGAAACTTTTATCATATGAACTATTACTGATTACTGTGCTAATGCTTTTCTGCCTTGGTGACTATCTTTCATGATGCCCTTTTGATGGCGTTCTTGGCTTGCAGTAGATGTCTTTCCTTTAAAGTGTAAAGTCTGGCAATTCTTAACTGTCCAAGTGTTTTTCCTTTTTTGTATTTTAAAGTTGCTATTTGTCTGCCTGTTTTATTCACTGCAGTCTTTTCATGATTCCAGCAGTATATTGCTGAAAGACTATGACAGTAGCTCATTTCCTGAGTGTGTATGTAGGGCAGGTCTCTGCTCCCCTTTGTTGGTTAGTTGGTACTGATCTTTGACATCTCTCTCTGACTCCAGGCTTTCAAACTTACCACTGCTGCTCTCATTGTCGCTCAGCACAAGGCAATTAGAGGAAGGAGCCAACTTGTATGACTGAGACAACTGTGGACCCCAAGTAATCTTTCTGCCAATGTCTTAGGTGCCATGCTGTGTCTTATCTATATTGACTCAAGACTTCTTTGGTTCTTCAGCATTGTGTTCTGGGTTAGCTTTGTCTTTTCTGTTACATGTTTCAGCAAATGTATCAATAATTCCGTTGGCTTTCTATCTTTAAAGACTTCCTCCAAATGACTGATCCACATAGGGTACTTCCTATTCTATTCAAGAGAAATTGTGCTTCTGTTTTCACTTTGCTGTGTACAGTTTCTCTCATTTCATTGATCTCGAAGGCAGAATGGATCCAAAATGCGAAGGCCATGTTGATATCTTCATAAAATTAATAATTTTGTTTTATGTGGCTACCAAGCTAGCTTACCTCCAATCTCAGAAACACATTATATTGCTTTGGTTTTCATGACTAGAAATATATATGCTCTGATATATTAACATTTTTAGCATCCGTTCTGTTATTTACCTTTAAATTCTTCACGTCCTCTTCTACACCTTCTTCTAAATTATGTGAATAAAAAGGCCTAAATTTTTCTTCAATGCCTAGATAAGAAAAGCAGTACTTTAAATTTCTTAAATATTTTGTAAAATAAAATTGAAATGTTAGTAATCTATTATCTTTGAATGACTTACCTTATCTGTGGGAAAGCAGTAAAATAAAATGTAAATACCAAATCACTGACTTTCAGGAAAAGACTAACAAGATTAATAACTAGGGAGACAGAACAAGGGACAGTATGACACTGGAGACCAAGAACTCCTGCCTAACAGCATGTGGTTTCTCTGGCTATCGGCTCAGAGCACTATCCACCGTGAGTTAACCTTCAAACAAACCAGGATGGGTGCACTCTGTTTCTGCCCCTGTGGCATCAGATTTATATAGGATGGAATACTCAAAATGAGGATTTGGTATAAAGAGTTACAGCTGATGGCTTTGAAAGAAAAAAGCAACTATCACTCTCTGGATGAGGGAGTGGATATACTTTTTCTTATTTCCCTGCTAAGCACAATGGAAATGCCTAGACATATATATAGAACAAATATAAGAAGACTCTGAGTAGAGGAGAGACAAGGGCAGACCAGATAGGGATTTTGGGGTCTGAGAAAAGATATGACAATGAGTTCACTGGGTTTTCCTCTTGCCTCATAGATTCCAAACTTACAGCCGAAAAAGCTAGCAATCCAACAAAAGTTCAACCAAACCCCAATCAATAAAATACTTCCTATTCTATTCCAGAGAAATTGTGCTGCTGTTTTCATATTACTGTGTATAGTTTCTCTTACTTCATTAGTCTTGAAGGAGGAATGGTTCAGAATGCCAAGTTGTTATCTGCATAAAATTGCTAAGGGGCAACTTAGCAGGACAGAAAACCTTCAGTCAATTTCCACATTGGAATCAAAATACACAGAAAAACGGTAGCTCCATCTCCATCCCTGCCAGCAAAGGCTGAGTGTGAGTGGATATGTCCAACCTCATGAAACAGGGTGCTCACCACTCAAACAAGGATTATGTCGGAGAGGTCCACATAGGAGGCTGGGACTTTCCTTTTTGCTGGATGGTAAGGAGCCCCTCCACTCCTGTGGGGTCAGTAGAAGTCAAGGCAGACTGGATTTACAACCTCACCGTGAAATAACAAAATTCCCTTTCTCTGTCCCGATGGGGAAGTGTAGACAGAGGCACAATGGGGAGTTAGTACTTTCACCTCCAATGCAGTGTCCATGGAGCCCATATGGATGCTGCAGGAACTTCCACCCCTGACCAGTCAACAAGGAGCCCCCTCTACTTCACATGTCAACAGGGCTAAGTGGGGAATCTGGACTCCCCTCAACCTGGTATTAACAAGGTGGCAAAACCATCCCACAGACAACAACATGCCAGAGAAAGCCAGCTATAACTGGAAGCTTAAAGAAGACTCAGATCTCCTAACACATTAAGAAAGAAAAGCCCAACAAAAGTTTTATTGGGAAAATCACTCATCATACTGAGAATCAGGAAGATCTCGAGCTGAAAAACAAACAAACGAAAAAAACAACAACACAACAATCAATAGATGCCAACAGCGAGATGACAGATATTAGAAAAAAATTTTAAACTTCATTTTTATTGTTGAGGGTATTACAGATGCATCCCATTTCCTGTCCCCTTTGCCCCACTCCTCCTGGCTCCTGCCCCATCCCAGGCCTTCACTGCACTATTGTCTGTGTCCATGGGCTATGCATATATGCATATAAGTTCTTTAATTAATATCTTCCTCTTCCCCCCACACCCCACCATTCCCTGTAAGATCTGGCAGTCTGTTCCATGCTTCCATGTCTCTGGACATATTTTGTTCATTAGTTTATTCTGTTCATTAGATTCCACATATAATTAAGATCATGTGATATCTGTCTTTCTCTGACTGGCTTATATTATTTAGTTTAACATAATAATCTCCAGATCCCTTAATGCTATCTATAAGAGTAAGAGATCCTTCTTCTTATTCTTCCTTTTTTTTTTTTTCTTTTTCTATAGCTGCATAGTATACCACAGCATTTTTTACCAATCACTACTGATAGGCACTTGGACTGTTTCCAGATCTTGACTGTTGTAAATAATGCTGCTATGAATATAGAGGTGCATATATTCTTTCTGATTGATGTTTTGGAATTGTTAGGATATAGTCCCAGAAGTGGGATTGATGGATAAAACAGCAGTTCCATTTTTAATTGTGTGTGTGTGTGTGTGTGTGTGTGTGTGTGTTAAACCTTACCAGAGGATATTTTTTCCATTGATTTTTATTTTATTTAAAACTAGAGGCCCAGTGCATGAAATTTGTAATTTGTGCACAGGAGGGGGTGTCCCTCAGCCCAACCTGCACCCTCTCCAATCTGGGACCCCTTTGGGATGTCCGACTGCCTGTTTAGGCTTGATCAATGGGATCGGGCCTAAACAGGCAGTCGGACATCCCTTTCACAATCTAGGACTGCTGGCTCCCAACTACTTGCCTGCCCACCTTCCTGACTACCCCTAACCGCTTCTGCCTGCCAGCCTTACACCTTAACCACTCCCCTGCCAGCCCGATTGTCCCTAATTGTCCTCCCCTGCAACCCCAGTCACCTCCAAATACCCTCCCTTGTATATTCCCTCTTTATTAGATAGGGTTTTTTAGCATATTGGACAGTCCTAACTGGTTTGGCTCAGTGGATGGAGCATTGACCTGTAGACTCAAGGGTCCCAGGTTCAATTCTGGTCAAGGCCATGTACCTTGGTGGGGGCACATATCCAGTGGGGAGTGTGCAGGAAGCAGCTGATCAATGTTTCTCTCTCATAGATGTTTCTAGCTCTCTATCCCTTTCCCTTTCTCTCTGTAAAAAAATCAATAAAATATATATTTAAAAAAAGAAACATTAAAAATTCCTCCATATCTGCTTGGCTGGTGTGACTCAATGGTTGATAACCCAGGCTGCCAGCACTGGAAGGGGATCGCACCCTGGCCAGGTTGAGACCCCAGCCCAGGCTGCCACCGTGGCCAGGGGATCCTACAGCTTGGGGGCAAGGCCCTGCCGGCCTGAGATTCTAGCCCATGCTGCCGCTGCGGCCGGGGAATCGCATGGCTTTGGTGCGCGGCCCTGCTGGCCTAAAACCCCAGTCCTGGCTACCACCGCTGGCCAGGAGCACACTGGGCACTGACGCCTCAAGGCAGACACCCCAGGCTGCTGCCACTGGGCAGGGATCGCTGCATGGGGGTCAGGCGCCTCCCAGCTAGACACCTTGGACTGCCGCTGCTGGGCAGACTTGGGGACTCCAGCAGGGCTAAGAGGACTGGGCCCCTCAATTTGTGGCTATGGGCATCGTCATTTTTGTTATGGAGTAATGGTCAATTTGCATATTACTCTTTTATTAGATAGGATGCCCCATCTAAAAGAGTAATATGCAAATTGACCATCACTCCAACACACGAGATGGCCGCCCCCATGTGGTCAAAGATGGCTGCTCCCATGTGGACACAAGATGGCCGCCACAAGATGGCCAGTAGGAAAGGGCAGTTAGGAGGAATGAGACCTGCAAGGGAGGGTGGTTGGGGCAAACAAGCCAGCAGGGAGGGCAGTTAGGGGTGACTGGGCCAACAGAGGAGGGCAGTTGGGAGGGACCAGGCCTGCAGGGGAGGGTAGTTGAGGGGAACCAGGCCTGCAGGGGAGGGCAGTTGGGGGGAACCAGGCCTGCAGGGGAGGGCAATTGCGGGGGACTAGACCACCAGGGGAGGGCAGTTAGGGGTGACCATGCTGGCAAGGGAGGATAGTTAGGGGTTACCAAGCCAGCAGGGAAGGGCAGTTGGGGGAAACCAGGCCTGCAGGGGAGGTTAGTTAGGGGTGACCAAGCTGGCAGGGGAGGGCAGTTAGGGGCAATTGGGCCAGCAGGCAAGCAGTTAGGTATTAATCAGGCTGGCAGGAGAGTGTTTAGGAGGTGATCAGGCTGGCAGGTAGAAGCAGTTAGGGGCAATCAGGCAGGCAGGCAAGTCAGCAGTTGGAAGCCAGCAGTCCTGGATTATGAGAGGGAAGTCCTACTGCCCGTTTAGGCCCAATCCTAGTGGGGGTCCCAGATTGGAGAGGATGCAGGCTGGGCTGAGAGATACTTCCCCCAGCACGAATTTCATGCCACCAGGCCTCTAGTGTGTGTGTGTGTGTGTGTGTGTTTGTGTAACTTCAGAGAGGGAGAGGGAGAGGAAGAAGTGGAACATCAGTGATGAGAGAGAATCACTGATTGGCAACCTCCTACATGCTTCCCACTGGGAATCAAGCTCAGAAAGGAAATCAAACTATGTGTGTCATAGGTGGATGCTCAATCACCAAGCTACACCAGCCGACTTCCTACTGATTTTTAGAAAGCATGTAAAGGAGGAAGGCAAGGGAGTAGGGAGGGACAGAAGAAGGTACAGAGGAGGAAAGAGAAGGAGGGAAGGAGGGAAATAGATGAGATGCAACTAATTGACTGGGGCCAGTGATTGAACCTGCCCTTGCCTGGGAATGAAACCCATGACAATTTGGTGCATGGGCTGACAATCTAACCACTGAGAAACATGGACTAGGGCCCATTTATTATTATTTCAATATTGCTTCACAATGGTCGCAGCAGTCTACATTCCACCAGCAGCGTTAGTTCTCCTTTTTCCACATTCTCACCAGCACTTGATATTTGTTGATTTATTAATGGTAGCCATTCTGGCAGGTGTGAAATGATACCTCATAATAGTTTTAATTTTAATATCTCTGATGATTAGTGGCATTGAATTTTTTTTATATGTTTCTTAGCCATCTCTATGCCCTCTTTGGAGAAGTGTCTAGTCAGGTGTTTTGCCCGTTTTTAAATTTGACTGTTTGATTTCATTTTGTTGAATTGTATGAGTTTTTTTTAATTTAACCCCTTATCACATGTATCATCGGCAAATATGCTCTCCCAAACATTGTGCTCCCTTTTAATTTTGAGGATGATTTCTTTTGCTGTACAAAATCTTTTTATTTTGATGTGGTCTCATTTGTTTATTTTTTCCTTTGCTTCACTTGCCCTAGGCCCGTGGTCGGCAAACTGTGGCTCACGAGCCACATGCAGCTCTTTGGCCCCTTGAGTGTGGCTCTTCCACAAAATGTCACGGCCTTGGTGAGTCTATTTTGAAGAAGTGGCATTAGAAGAAGTTTAAAAAATTTGGCTCTCGCCGAAACCGGTTTGGCTCAATGGTAGAGCGTCGGTCTGCGGACTGAAAGGTCCCAGGTTCGATTCCGGTCAAGGGCATGTACATTGGTTGTGGGCACATCCCCGGAGGGGGGTGTGCAAGAGGCAGCTGGTCAATGTTTCTCTCTCATCGACGTTTCTAGCTCTCTATCCCTCTTTCCTCCTCTCTGTAAAAAATCAATAAAATATATTAAAAAAAAAATTTGGCTCTCAAAAGAAATTTTGATATTTGGCTCTGTTGACTAATGAGTTTGCTGACCACTGCCCTAGGCCATGTATCTGCAAAAATCCTGCTGACACATCTGAAATTTTACTGCCTATGGTTTCTTCTAGGATTTTTATGGTTTTATTACTTACATTTAAGGCTTTTATCCATTTTGAGTTTATTCTTGTGTATGGTATAAGTTGGCAATTTAGTTTCATTTTTTTGCATGTACTAGTATCTGTTCAATTTTCCCATTGTATGTTTACTCCATTGTATGCTCTTGCCTCTTTTGTCAAATATTAATTGAGTGTAATGGCGTGGGTAGATTTCTGAGGTCTCTGTTCTGTTCCACTGATCTATGTGTCTGTTCTTGCACCAGTACCAGGCTGTTTTGACTACCATGGCTTTGTAGTATAACTTGAGATCTGGTATTGTGATCCTTCCATCTTCCTTCTTCTTTCTCAAAGTTACTGTGGCTATTCAAAATATTCTTTGGTTCCATATATATTTTTGGAATATTTGTTCTAGACCTGTGAAATATGCCATTGACAGTTAATTAGGGATTGTGTTGAACCTGTAGATTGCTCTGGATAGTATGGACATTTAAATTATGTTAATTCTTTCAGTCCATGAACATAGTATATGCTTCCACTAGTTTGTATCTTCCTCTATTTCTTTTTTCAATATCCTATAATTTTCTGAGTACAGGTTTTTACCTCCTTGGTTAAGTTTATTCCTGGGTATCTTTTTATTTTTCTCTCTTTTTTTTTTTTTCTCCTCCCAATGGTAAATGGGATTATTTTTTAGTTTCTCTTCCTGAGAGTTCATTTTGGGTCTATAAAATGCCACTGATTTCCAGATGTTAATTTGTATTCCTCTACTTTGCCAAATTAATTTATTAAAACTCGCAGTTTTTTGATGGTCTTAGTGTTTTCTATGTACACTACCATGTAATCTGCAAATAATGAGTTTTACTTTCTCCTTTCTAATTTGGATGCCTTTTCTTCTTCTTCTTGTCTGATCACTGTGGCTGGGGCTTCCAGGACTATGTCGAGTAAGAGTGGTGAAAGCGGACATCCTTATCTTATACCTGTTCTTAAGGGAAACGTTTTTAGTTTTTGCCCATTTAGTACAATGTTGGCTGTAGTTTAGTCTTGTATGGCTTTTATTATGAAAAGGTATGATCACTCTATTCCCCCTTTACTGAGAGTTGTTATCAAAAAAGGGTGCTGGAGTCCTACCTGGTTAAGCCCAGTGTGTTGGCCTGTGGACTGAAAGGTCCTGGGTTCAAGGGCATATGCCCGGGTTTCAGGCTTGAACCCCAGTAGTGGGTGTGCAGGAGACAGCTGATCAATGATTTTCTCTTATCATTGATGCTTTTATCTCTCTCTCCCTCTCTGAAATCAATAAAAATAAGTGTAAGTAAGTAAGTAAATAAATAAATAAATGGTGTTGGATTTTTGTCAAATGCTTTTTCTGTACCTATTGATATGGTCATGTGGTTTTGTCTTTTAATTTGTTTATGTGATATATTCATGTTTATTGACTTGCAAATATTGTACCAGCCTTGCATCCCTGATCATGGTGTATGATCTTTTTAGTGTATTGCTAGGTCCAATTTGCTAATATTTTATTAAGGATTTTAGCACTCTGTTCATCAGGGATATTGGCATATATATATATATATATATATATATATATATTTTTTTTTTTTTTTTGTAATTTCCTTATTTGGCTTTGGAATTAGGATAATGCTGGCCTCATAAATAAAAGCTTCAAAGTCTTCCCACTGCTTGAATTTTTTTGAATAGTGTGAGGGAGATATTAGTTCTACTTTGAGAAATGCAAATTTAAACCACAATCAAATATTACATCACACCTACTAGAATAACTAAAATAAAAATATGGCAATACTAGTAAATGTGGACAAAGATGGAGAGAAACTAGATCACTCACACATTGCTGATGGGAATATATAAAATAGTAGAACTACTCTATAAAACAATTTGGCAGTATCTTAAAACCAACCAAACAACTAAACATGAAACTACCACCAACCTAGCTATTTCACTGCTGGGTATTTATTCCAGAGAAATGAAGACTTCTATTCACAGAAAACCCAGTAACATGAATATTTACAGTAGCTTCAGTCCTAATAGCCCCAAACTGGGAACAAACTAGATATTCTTCAAGGAGTGAATAAACCAACTTTGGTACATTCATACCATGGAATAGTACTCAACAATAAAAAGCAATGAATGACTGATACACACACCTAGAGAATTATACTGAGTGGCAAAAAGCCAATCCCACAGATTACCAAAAGGTATTTTATGATTCCATTTATGTAACATTCATGAAATAATAAAATTATAGAAATGGAGAACAGTTTCGTGGTTTCCAGAGGAGAAGGAGGAGTGGGATTAGGGAGAGAGGTGGGTGTAGCTTAAAAAGGACAACCTGAGGGACTCTGGTGGCAGTGGAAATGTTCTGTATCTGACTGTACCATTTACATATCCCAGCTGTAACACAGCACTATAGTTTGGCCAGATGTATCATTGGGGGAAACTATGTAAAAGGAACATGGGCTGTCTTTCTGTCTCAGCTGCTGCATATAAATCTACAATTAACACAAAATAAGAACTTCAATTTTTAAAAAGTGAAAAAGGCATGAAAGAAAAGAAATCAAGCTTGGAGAAGATTTGGGCTGACTGAGCAAGTAAGAAAATAGGCACTAAATCAAAAGACCCTTCTAATCCTCTGGTGGTAAGTGGTAGGTGGGACTTCATTTCTGTTTTGTCAGAGCAGAAACAGGAGGGCAAAATGCTTTAAAGGCTCCTAAGTGATTTCCTACTATTTATTTTTTCTTCACCCAATTTTCTTCTTTCCTCTGCCTCTAGGATCTTAGCGAGATCCTTAGTATCACAGAGGAATGGAACAAACCCATGTGAGTGGTATTCACTGTATGCATATGGGAGTCCATTTGTTTATGGATTGTACTTTTAGTGTCAAGTCTAAATGGATAAACAAATGAATGGATAAACAAAATGTGGCATATGCATACAATGAATACCACTCAACAATAAAAAGAAAATTGACACTTGCCACAACATGGATGAACCTTAGGACATTATTTTCAGTGAAATAAACCAGTCACAAAAGAAGAAATACTGTGTGATTCCTCTTATAACGAGGAACCCAAAGTAGTCAAATTCATAAACTGAAAGTAGAATGGTAATTGTCAAGGGCTGGGGTAGGGGAATTAGTGTTTAATGGGGACAAAGTTTCAATTTGGGAAAATGGAAAGTTCTGTGGATGGATGGGAGCGATGGTTGCACAACATTGTGAATGTACTTAATGCCACTGAACTGTATATTTAAAAATGGTTAAAATGCTGACTAATGTGATATACGTATTTTAACACAATTTATAAAAAGTTAATTATGAACCAAATTAAATTTTGGGAGGGATAGCATCTTGAAGAAAAATGTTTGAAATCTAGAAAATCAGTTTGAAATCACAAGTGGAACTCAGTTTTTTTAAGACTCAAAGTAACTTTCTGACAAAATCTTACTGGGGAAACCTCCACATAGGTAACTGTACACAGTCCTAAGAGACGCCCTTACCAGGAAATGTTGGCCGCAATTCCGGGTCCGCCTTCCAGCACTGCATCATGAGGCTGATAATCTCCTTTGGGCAGTACTCAATAATGTCGTCCACACATGGCCTATTCCCAGATTTAATACATAAGATCATCTGCTCCTCACAGATAGCATCTGTAAAGCAAATAGGAGCTTCCGTTTAGACTTTCTTTTAGGTCACGTTTTCTCGGGCACAGAGGTGACAGAACTTGGACCACACCACTAATCTTTCTCTGCCTGGGACATGCTTTTAGTAAAGCTGTTCATCTGACGAAGGCAGAAGGGCCCTGTGGCAAGGAGCCACACAACATTTTAATTTCTGCAGATAAAAGACACAATTCACAAGAAAGCTACCTCCTGGTAGAACAAGTAGAATATTAATGAGTGACTTAAAAGGTAGAGTGATAATTGCTACTCAAGAAGTAAATACAAGGTTCTGAGAACTCAACCTTCACCAGATGTTCAGAGAAGGCTTTGTGGAGTTCAGAAAAATAAGGAGTTATCCATGTAAGAAATGGGGAAGGAGGACTCAGAGAGGATGACTATGGGCTAGGGAAGTAGGATATAAATAAATTGGAGGTTTCATAAATTATGATGTATCCCAGAAATTATGAGTATTTCAGTATAATTGAGCATATTGCCTAAGGGGGGGGGGGAAGTAAAACTAGAGAAAGAAGCAAAAGCCAAATCAGAAAGAACCTACCGTGTTTCCCCGAAAATAAGACATCCTCCGAAAATAAGACCTACTTACAGGTTTCCTTCTGAGTGAAATATAAGGCATCCCCCCGAAAATAAGCCCCCCCCCCCCAGGCTAAACATGAGAGATTTGGTCCACTGATTCTGAAAGAAATGGAGTCACAAGAAATTCACCAGGAAATTCAGGAATTGGATTGTTATGATGATGTTCCAGAAGATGATGACATGATTGTCATTGAGTAAATGAGTAAATTCTTGATACTGTAGGATTCACAGTTTCTGGTTTGTGTTGACAACTACTGTACTACCGTACCATATACAGGTAATAAATTTCCTTTATTTTCATTTAACAATAAGTGTGTACCGTATTCTTCTTTATGGAAAAATAAGAGATTCCCTGAAAATAAGACCTAGCGCATCTTTGGGAGCAAAAGTTAATATAAGACACTGTCTTATTTTCAGGGAAACAGAGTAGTATTGCATACTGAGGAATTTGAACTTTATCTTTTATGGCCCCAGCGAGTCTTGTAAAAATTTTCTTTTAAACTGATGAGTGAGATGATCATATGTTCTTTTGGGACGACCAATTGGGCTGCAGTGAGGATAGTGGATGCATACAAGGAGCCTACTGCAGAAATGGAAAGGGTTTGACTAAATAGAGTTCAGTGGTGATAGAAAGAAGTGGGTGGATTGAAGGTGTATCTTGAATCATATGTATACTTTGACTTTGTAAGTTTGGATGTCTGATTGTGTGTGGGAGATGAGGAACAAGGCTGAATGACTAAGGTTTCTGGTTTGGCAATTCAGCAGATGGGTGATGATGCCATCGCTGAACATAACAAGAGCTGCAAAGCTGAGTGGGCTACAGGAGAGCAGGTAGATGACTTTGTCTGGGGGAATGTTGCTTTGAGGTTCCTCTGGTACATGGAATAGTTCTAACAGACAAGTGGATCTCTAGGCCAGGGCTAGAGATAAGAGATTTGAGAGACATGGGCAAAGAGGTGATCATTGAATCATGGGAGCTCATAATCACCCAAAGAAGAATGGGTAGGAAAATGTCTATTAGTTTAGGCACTTAACACACTGAAGAATGACTACTTATGTATCTGTTCTACATGAACCATGTCTGTCTCATCTTTACAGTCTCAATTCTGGTCAAAGTGCCCATAGAGTTCTGAAATGAAATAACTCTTGAATGAAGGAGTGAATAGGGGCAAGTCATCTGACATGCATGCCTTGTAGGACGAAAGGGTAAGTCCTCACACACAGAAGCCAGCAAGCTTTCTTGTCCAGGAAGAGTCCTGGAATTTCCCAGTACCTCCTGAGCTTAGATGCATTATCATAGCTCCTGTTTGTCCTGTGGCCCTTGATTCCTAAACTGAGATTATTCATTCAGTCAATCATTGAGCACCTACTATGTTTCTGGCACTGTGTGTGCAGATACTTGGGAAATGGGAGAGGATAAATCAGATGTGGTCCCAGCCCCTGCAGACTTTAAAGTCTAATGGGTAAGATAAACATTAAATGAACAAACCATTATAAATTTTAATTGACTTCACTGAAGGCCATTATCTCATTTAATGATTTTGATGAATACCCAAATCCCACTCCTGTATAAATGTCTTACTTTCATATGGCTCCTTGTTTGCAAATATTGCCCACAGTACTATGGCAAAGCTGTACACATCCGACTTCTCCGAGGGCCTGGCGTTGATGTCATTCAGGTGCTCGGGCGCCATGTAGTAGAGGGTGCCACCGTTTTTCTTAGAGAGACTGTCCGCTTTCCTCTGCTCATTGTGTTCCTCTTTAGTCAACTTACTCCACGTCTTAAAGGACGCAACGCCAAGGTCAGCTATCTGCAAGTGATCAAACCAACAGGATTGTTCTATGAAAATGACAAGCAGATCAGCTTTGTCTTGAAATTTGGGACTCATCCAATAGATTGGAGGTACAGTGAACTTTCCAGAAATGGCTGCAGGGGATAGTGTTAAAATAGCTACTTCTGAACAGACTCAGAAACTTTGTATTTCTCGGTCATTTAGAAAACCTCCCCTAAGAAATGTCCATGTGAAGTTCTGGTATCTCAATTCTTATGTAACTGGGAAAAAACAGGAAATCTGCTAGAGCAGGTGGTGAGACGGGAGGAAAGGAGGTGAAATGGAAGACATTTTTGACATGAACAGCAAAACACACTTGTCCTAACTTTTCATTGACTCTGTATATGTTTTTCAGTTATTTCTGGAGTTAAAGCGGTAATTTCTTCTGAGCATGCTTATATAGCAGACAGTGATGAGGAACTGCACCTTCTACTTTCCAAAACGATATCTGAAAGCCCATGGATGCTAGTCTCGAAGGAACCCAAAGACACTGAGGACAGGGCTGTGCTGCTAGGGTTTTGAGTTGGTAGCCTTAACTGAATCTAAGAGAAGATGGGAGGGGAAGGAATAATAATACTGACAAAAAGCAAAGAGAAAAACACCAACATCAGACACACACAAAAACAGAGAGAAGTGGCAGTGCAAAACGACAGAATAATACAGTAACCATGAATTCAAAGGTGACAGTTTCACTTCTGCCTCTAGGAATCCAGCATCTGCAGATGAATTCTGGCATGTGGTTATGTAAAACCCACAGATTCTAACATAACTGATATGTTATTAATATAAAGAAGGGCCAAAACCAGTTTTCTCAGTGGATAGAGCATCACCTGCGGACTGAAAGGTCCCAGGTTCGATTCCGGTCAAGGGCATGTACCTTGGTTGCGGGCACATTCCCAGTAGGGAGTGTGCAGGAGGCAGCTGATAGATGTTTCTCTCTCATTGATGTTTCTAGCTTTCTGTCCCTCCCTCTTCCTCTCTGTGAAAAACAAACAAACAAACAAAAAACCAAATATATATGTGTGTGTGTGTGTGTGTGTGTGTATGTATGAATATATAGAACATTTCTCTTAAGACAGGAATAAGAACTCATCGAAGACGAAGATGAAATGTTAGAAGAATCTTCTAGCAAAGAGGAACACCTGTGAAAGCTGTTCCACAGTCCTTACCCGTGGGCCGCTTCCCCTTTCAGGATTTTTGCACTTGGATCCCTGCTGTCAGAACTAGTTAGCTATAATGACCCCATCTACTTAAATATAGAGTGAGTGACAACAAAATCCTTTCTTGTTTCCTTTTCTGTGATTAAAAGAGTTGGGAGTTTTCAAAAGGAAACAAAAATTGCAGATGAACGTACACTAATCCATAAAAAATATAAACTCCATCAAGTCTGTGTCTTTCTTTTCAGTCCTTGGCACCACCGGCACCATGAGAAACTGAGGCAGGTCTTCCTTTAGAGTCACCATGTACAAACATGGATTTACAGTGAAGAGTTACAACGAAAATCACCCAAGCTTCTACAGCCTTTGGATTATGGTTTACCTTAATGTGAAAGTTGTCATCAACCAGGATATTTTCAGGCTTTAGGTCCTTGTGTATTACACCTTCTCCATGTAAATAGCACATTCCTTCAATGGTCTCCATAATTATCCTTCCTTTTACAGAAAGGGGGATGCTGATCTAAAACAAGTAACATTAAGTGTATGAAATGGAAAGCAATCAAACACGCCACAGCAACTGCTTCACTCAGGACTACTGGGGGCTGCACGTGAGGACAGTTACCTGCCTTCTCTCTGCTCTGCAGCACGGCAGACATTGCGAAACAGTCCCCCTTTTGAAGAAAGAGTTCGCATCAGGTGCTGAGGGTATTAATGGTGTGTTTTGCAGTGTAAAACTAAAACTTCCATGACAATATACTAATAGCTAAAAATGATATACAATTATGCTCCTTGAGAATAAAACATTATTGTTGTTGTTGTTGTTTAGGATGTATGCTTATTACCTAGCATCCTGGAATGTTTGGTGAATGAATGGATAAATAGACAAAAAACAAACATTCTCTATGGTATATTAATATGATGTTCTACTATGTATTAAATACATGAAAAATGTCACGGAAATGTGTGCCTGAAATAATATTAAAAGAAAAATATAAGGGAATGTGCTTACACTGATTAGAAACGTGGAAAGGTTAATCAATGAGATAATATAAGGTCCTTAATGCTGAAATGAATGTAATATCTACTTTGTGACTTTATCAGGCACTTCAGGTTTTGTAGAATCTCGGGTCATTCTTACAACTGTATTCTAGTTACATGAACATCTATGTTAATATAGAGAATTCCAGTTTTTACTTAGAATAGTTAAACATTAGATTTGCTTAACATTGTGAAACAAACAGGCTGCTTCCTAAAAGTGTATGTGCCTGTCGGTTGTTGGTAAACAGGAAACATTTGAAATGCTAGAAGTTAGACTCCCAAGCAAAGCCCCCAAACCATATCTGCCCCATACCGCAGCTGAACTGCAGTATTTACAGCCTGATCACCACCATACAAAAATGGCCAGAGATCCTCCCTTCTTCCAGGGTGTACCTCTGCAGTTAGGAAAAAATTCTGAAAAGCACTGTAGATCCCCTTCACATCCCTCTTTCAGTTTCTCTCCCTCCGTCCTCCTGACCTTCTTGTTGAGCCTGTTAGTGCTTCCTTCATGCACCTGATCTTATCTAGTTTTTGAGAGAAGAGCAATTTGATCAAATGATAATACAATGTGTACAAGTAATTATCTTGTATCTTTCCCACAGGTATTTGTGAAAGGTATCTGTGACTTAGAAGAATTGGCAAGCTTCGGCAACTGTGAGGCCAGGGGAGAAAATGGAAAAGTGGAGGATATTTGCCATAGAGACAATCATCCCACCACCCCCACAAGCAATCTATGCTTTGCCAAACCTAGTTATTTGCAGTTTCCCAAATTTGGCATACTCTCGTTCCTTGGCACATGCCATTCTCTCTGCCTGGAACACTTACCTCTAATTCTCTGTTTCAAAACCTCTCCTTATCCGTCAGATTTTGGCTCAAGCATCCTTCTGGAATCCTTTCCTACCTGCCCCATTCTAGAGTGCGTTTCTCTCCTCCGTGTTCCCATAGCACACATGAAGTTGTCTATCCAAATATCACACACTATTTGCTCCTTTACTAGTCTATGTCTTATTTGCTCCTGCTTCCTGAGCAATTAGCACAAGGCATTCCTCTTAACAGATACATACACTTTTAAAAGTGCTTTAGACTTACTTGGTTTTGTTAAACTTGTTATTTTCCTGTTTTAAGTCTTACTTCTCCAGGGTTGTTGCCTCTAATGCTGTACATTTAAGCTGTACGTTTCTTAAATGGTATCAATGTGCAATCATTAATACTCCTTCTCATAAGGGCCTTTATAGAATACATCCTTTAATCAATCAACTAACGTGTGCAATGCCCCTCCTGGTGCATATGCCCCTCATCAGACCCTGTGCTTCATGCAGACAGGGCCTGTCTCTGAATTGTGGATCTCAGAGTGGCTGACAGCAGGGACCCAGACCACTGTCTGCAGGGAGGAGAGAAGGGCCCGGTCACCCTCTGGGCGGGGAGAGTCACGGAGGATTTAATGAGGGATTGACCGGAAAATCCAAATTATCTAGCAATTTGCGCGAGGATTATTTTTCACCAACACCTACAAAAGAACGTGAAGCACAACCCCCTCAGACAAGCGCTCAGTGAGGGCTCTGTGGGGGGAGCCGTACCGCGGCCTGCAGCACGTGCATCAGGTTGCCCTTCTTCATGTACTCCATCACCAGGGAGTAGTTCCCCTCCTCCAGGATGACGCCCAGCAGCTTCACCACCCGCACGTGGCGCAGTCTGTGCATCATCCTGCCCTCCTCAAGGAGGGACTCGTTGTACCTGTGGGAGAGAAGGATACTGTGAGGATGGGCAGTTAGCTCCTCTTTCCTTTGTGCCCCGCCAGTACGGCCCATGTCTCCCGGGCATCCTGGTGCTGTGCTTTTGTCACTACTTGCTGTACTGGCCTCTGCCAGGCACTGACTACAAGCTGAGGAAGGCAGAATGGTTTTTCCTTCCCAGCGGCTGGCAGCGAGCCCTTAAGAAATGTCACACTGCTGAACAACAGGAGAACAGTAACGTGAAGAGCGGCAACAACACACGGTCCGAGAAAAGGACGGTGCTGGACAGTGTAAGGAAAATGCAGCCTCTCTCATAACCACTGTGGCAAGAAGGGTTAGTAAAACAGCACTACCAATTTTTACACAGAGTTCCTGGAACCGCTAAGTAATGAACCACTTTCTTTTCTTGTCCATACTTAGGGCTAATCCTCACCAAACATGTGGAGCAAGTCTATTTTCACTGATCTCTCCCATTTCCTTTTCATCACCTTCCTCATCACCCTGATCTCCTTCCCTTTCTCTACTTTAAAAAATACATTTTTTATTGATTTGAAAGATGAAGGGAGGGAGGGAGAGAGAAACATCAATGATGAGAGAGAATCGTTGATCAGCTGCTTCCTGGGGATTGAGCCCATAACCCAGGCAAGTACCCTGACTGGGAATTGAACTGTGATTTCCTGGGCTTTGTCTACTTTCTTCCTTTCATTTCTCGTTACCAGCTGTAACCTTCTCATCAACCAGCCTCAAAATCCTTGTCAGCTATACAGGGACAGTAACCACCTCGTAGGGTTGTTGGACATGAGCCCGAGTGCTGACACTTACACCATTGGCTGTCTCATTCTAAAGCCAGTGCCAGTCTTCCCCCGCGCAGCCCTGAACCTCCACAGCCTCCGCCCCCTGGGGCCAGCCCACAGTGGGTTCACCTGCCCCACTCCCCGCTCACTCTGTTCGCGTAGGCCCCGTGTACACCTTCTTCAGTATGACGAGCCCATGGGATCTGTGTAAACACAAGGACACCTTCCCGAAGCCACCGCTGTCTAGATACTCCGCATCCAGGAAGTCACTGGATTTCATCTTAATGTCATCCAAAGACATGTCTGGTTTCCTTCCAATGCGCAGAATGCTCAAAAACACACCACCTTTTCTTAGCCTCAGAGCTGTGCCCTGTAAAGAAAACAAGAAACCATCTCAGTGCAGAAAACTCATTATACTAAAACCACGTGTTTGGTGGACCTCGATTTTTTGAGGATAGACTTACAATGAACGTTTCCCCATATTTCTAAGAATCACAGAAGACCACAACTTTGATTCCTTAGACTTTCATTGCTGGCAACATACAGGACTACAAAAGTTTGAAAACCCCCCTGCTACAAGGACTCATATATGTTGGGTAACACAATACAAACACATATTCCCATGCACAGCTAGGTCAGCAGGAAGGAAAACCCCAGGGACTGAACACAAACAGGGCACTGGCCCTAAGCCGTGACCCACACAGTAGCTGCTGTGGACTGAATGTTTGGGCCACCCCCAAATTCACACATTGAAATCCAATAAATAGTATTAGAAGGTGGGGTATTAGGAAGGTATTGGTCAGAAAGGTGGAGATTAGTTTCCTTATAAAAGAAATGAGGGAGCCGGGACCGGTTTGGCTCAATGGATAGAGCATCGGCTTGGGGACTAAAGGGTCCCGGGTTCGATTCCGGTCAAGGGCATGTACCTTGGTTGGGGGCATATCCCCCATAGGGGGTGTGCAAGAGGCAGCTGATCGATGACTCTCTCTCATTGATGTTTCTAACTCTCAATCTCTCTCCCTTCTTCTCTGTACAAAAATCAATAAAATATATTAAATTTTAAAAAAAGAAAAGAAAAGAAATGAGGGAGTTTTCTCTCTCTCCACCACGTGAGGACACAAGAAGATGGCTAGTAAAGGAGCCCTCGGCCACACATGGGTTTGCTGGCATCTTGATAGTAAACTTCTCAGCCCCTAAAACTGTGAAAAATAAATGTCCTTTAAGATCCCCAGTCTGAAATCTTTTCTAGCAACGAACTAAGACAGTGACCCTCTGGGCACAGCTGACTCGCTACCCAGAAGCCAGGGACCAAAGCCCAGATGGGACAAGAGCCGAGGTCAGGAAATGCAAGAAGAGGGTTGAAAGAAAGATCCGCCTTAATACGGCACTCCTTGGTGTGCTCCCTTACTCTTCCGTGAAAGGATGGACTAGAAAAAAGCAGTCCATTAGCAAAGGAACTCCACTTAGACTGGGCCTGTGTATAAAAAATGTCTGTGTGAATTCATAACTTTGGGCCTGACCTCAAATAGACTTGCGCTTTGAATGCAGGCCAGGATTCTTATAGCCATGATTCCCGAAACCAAGAACTTGTACATAGAAAGTGATCATAGACTGATGGCATCCCTGGATTATAATGCTAAAGCAAACACAACACAATCCAGCCAGGCCAGTCAAGATTCCCAGAAATGAACTAAGTTAATGTGAGCTCCCTTTCCAAAATTATAAAAAACAAATAAAACGTTCATCATGAACCAGACTCAGCCAAATATTAGGCATTATGGATAATTAAATTTCCGAACAGCTCTAAGGTAATCCTATCTAATAAAAGAGTGATACGCAAATTAACCATCACTCTGTTACACCCATCAGTCACGCCCTCCAGCCAATCAGGAGTGAGTATGCAAATTAACCCAACCAAAATGGCTGCAGCCACAGAGAGCAAGAGAGAGTTCTGGGTTTCCCAGCAATGGAGGAAGCCAAGCTTTCTGCACACCCTGGCCAGCCCAGGCCTCCACTCCTACAAAATTTCAATTATAGAAGATAAATAAATCCCAACAAAAATGGCAGCAACCACTAAGTTGGAAAGAGCAGGCAATTGAGTTGCCCCAGGCAATGGAGGAAGCCAAGTTTCCTGGCCTCTGCTCAAGGCTACCAAGTTTCAATTATAGAAGATACCAGGAACTCTGCTTGGGTCACCGGGGTGTGTGGCCGGCCTACAAACCACCACAGGCCCCTCATCCAGGCCATCCCATGCCCTAAGCCCTAGGGCCTAAGGGAACCCCCACCCTGATCCGGGACACCCTTTAGGGCAAACAAGCTAGCCCCCTACCATGCACCAGGCCTCTATCTAATAAAAGAGTAATATGCAAATTGACCATCACTCCAACACACAAGATTGCTGCTCCCATGTGGTCAAAGATGGCTGCCCCCAATTAGACACAAGGTGGCCAGAAGGGGAGTAATATGCAGATTGACCATCACTGCAACACATAAGATCTTGCCCCCATGTGGACACAAGATGGCTACCACAAGATGGCCAGCAGGGGAGGGACCAGGCCTACAAGAGGGCAGTTGAGGGCAATCAAGCCTGCAGGGGAGGGCAGTTAGGGTTGACCAGGCTGGCAGAGGAGGGAACTTGGGGGCAAACAGGCTGGCAGAGGAGCAGTTAAGATACCAATCAGACTGGCAGGGTAGTGGTTAGGGGGTGATCAGTCCAGCAGGCAGAAGTGATTGGGGTAATCAGGAAGGCAGGCAGATGACCCGTCTTAGGGGGTATTTTACCCTGCTCTTCCATTACAAACCCTTTAGGTAAGTCTTCTCCTGGCTACATGCTACATGCTACTCATCCCTAAGGTCTCAGCCTTTATCATAACCTCAGGGAAACTAGCCTAAGTCTTCTCATTAGACATTTCCACAGAACCCTGTATTTTTCCCTTGAAACAGTTAAGACAGCTGTAATTTGAGATTTCTAAGAAACCTCACAGACGGCAGGAAACACTTGCTCACTGTCTCTAATGTCTAGCACAGAAACTGATATTTGACAGTTGATCACTGAATGGACAATTTTTTTAAAAAGAATTCTTTAATTGTCGTAAAAAAAAAAAAAGGGTACAGTTAAGTGAGTTATGGAACATTCATAAAATGGAATATTATTTAGCCATTCAAAATTATAGTCTGTAAGTTAGGTATACATATGTAATGAAAGACACCAAAATGTTAGCAAGGCATATATTTGGATGGCAGGATGTTTACTTTCTTCTTTACACTTTTATTAGATTTCACCAATTTTCTACAATAAACACAAACTACATTTATAATGACAATTAATTTTTAAAGGAAATAATTCCTTCACTCAAAAGTTCTTTATTCTGAGGAATCAAATCAGAGTTGCTGATAAAAATTATGTACATACAAGGATGTTCCCAGTAACCTTATAGAGAACAAAAAACATATACAGCAATTTACATATACAGAGGAAAGAATATTATTGGCCGAAACCGGTTTAGCTCAGTGGACAGAGCGTAGTTCTGCGGACTGAAGGGTCCCAGGTTCGATTCCGGTCAAGGGCATGTACCTTGGTTGCGGGCGCATCCCCAGTAGGGGACGTGCAAGAGGCAGCTGATCGATGACTCTCTCTCATCGATGTTTCTATCTCTCTATCTCTCTCTCTTCCTCTCTGTAAAAAATCAATAAAATATATTAATAATAATAATAATAATAATGTTATGGCCCATCTATACTCTGAAATACATTTAGCAGGCTTCAAAAATGATGTTATATGTAAATATTTTAAAACATTTAAGAAAAACTCAGATTAAAGAAACATGTCCTGAAATATGCCTATTGGGGTATAAAACTTCAGTTTTATGAGTTCTATTTGGGATCTCTCCTTCAGCTCAGGTCTTACCTCCCTAAATCTGCCAACACAACTAAGACTTGAAGTGTCTTTGGGAGCAGGATGCTCAGGGGAAGGCCTCCAGGTGAGTCCACATCATTCTGTGAGGGTGGTTCCTGTCCCAAGTCAATTCTCCTTGCAGTCTGGCCCTTTGATGGTTTAGTCTAATCTTATGAACTTTTCCATTGTTTCCAATGATTTCTAATTTTTACTCTTTACTCCCCTTTTTTCCATTAACAATTCAACTTTATAAGCACTGAGTATCTTAGGAAGGCCCTATCAGTGGTTTACATACCCATGAGTCATAGAAACACTGCCTGTAGGCAGGTATAAACCACCTTATAAAGCTATGTCACACAACAATTAAGGAAAGCACATTGACCTGTTATGTCATGTTATGACAATTAATTTCAACTAATTGTGTCCATTGTAGTGGGATAAGTGGGTATTAATTCAGAGACTCAGAGAAGCAAATGTTTTCCACTGACCAATTTATTATATAGGATTAAAAATCCCAAGAAATTTCATTTATTATCTATGAGGCAGTTGAGTCTGTATATTAAAGTATTCAAACCTATATTCAATTAATGTTTGTCAATTGTACCTCAATAAAATCAGGGAAAAACATAAATGAGTAATAAATAATTAATGCCCCCAAACAGGCAGAATTAATTTATGCTATTAACAGTCAGAGTAGCGGTTAATATTAGGTGGGATACGGGAGATAGTGAATGAGAAGGGGGTTTCAGGAGTGATAGCAATGTTCTATTTTCTTAATTTGAGTAATGTTCACTTTGTGATACCACATACAGCTATACAGTTATGATCTGTGCATCTTTTTGTACGTTATCCTACTTTATAAAAGGGTAATATGCAAATTGACCATCACTCCGTCACAAAGATGTCTGCACCCACAGCTGAGGCCAAGTTCTCATAAGAAGCCTTAATGAGAAATCCGCAGGTACCTGAGGCTAGCCCTCCCCCACCCCTGTGGTGCTGACAGGGGACCTCAGGCTGCCTTCTTCCCCTCCCCCCTGGCGGGGTTTGATGGAAGACCTCAAGGTGTGCTTCGTGTCTTGGTGCTGGGCTAGGGGACCTCAACCTGCTCCCCCTACCCCAGCGGCAGGCTGGGGGATCTCAGGCCGTGCCCCCCACCAGGCAGGGCTTGACAGGGGGCTTCAGGCTGTGCCCCACACCCTGGCACCAGTTCAGGGGACCTCAGATCACAACCCCCGCCTGGCAGGGCTTGACAGGGAACCTCAGGCCACACCCTCTGCCCCAGTACCGGGCCAGGGGACCTGACCACGCCTCCCTGCCTGGCTGGACTTGACAGGGGACTTCATGCCATGCCCCCCCACTCAGTGGGGATGATGGGGGACCTGAAGGTGCACCCACAGTGCTGGGTAGGGGGGACTCAGACCATGCCCCCACCCAGCGGGGCTTGACAGGGAACCCAAGGCTGTGCCCCCTGCTGGTTGGACTTGATGGGGGACCTGAGGATGTGCCCCTTCCCAGTGCTGGGCTGGAGGACCTGAAGCTGCACCCCTTGTACCCCCCTGCCTGGCGGGACTTGATGGGGGACCTCAGACCATGCCCCCCACCCAGTAAGGCTTGACAGGGGATTTCAGGGCGTGTCTTCCCACCTGGCAGGGCTTGACAGAGTATCTCAAGGCACACACCCCCCCCCCCCCCACCAGGATCTGGGCTGGGGGACCTCAGGCCATGCCCCACATCCTGGCACCAGGCCAGGGGACCTGAGGATCTGTCCCCTGCCCAACAGGGCTTGACAAGGGAGGGACTGGCCATGTCTGGATCTAGCCCAAAGTTGGGGGGCGGCCAGGTCTGGGTCTCACGCAATTTTGAGGTGCATGTGGGTGGGTGGGGACTTGACTCTGGGTCCCGTGGTAAGCCCCAGTCTCTGACAGAAGGAAGGTTTTCATATATATTTTACTAATTTTTTTTCATCTCTGACACTTCTATTATAGAGAAAGGGCAAATAGCAATATTAAATTATTTCCTCTAATTAATCCCCTTTTATTGTACATGAATTTCATGCACCAGATCACTAGTACATCAATAAAAAAGTTTTTTAGTCCTGGCCAGTTTGGCTCAGTGGTTAAAGAGCCAGGTTCAATTCTGGTCAAGGGCACATACTTCAATTATAGGCTTGCTACCTGCCCCTGTTGAGGCCATATGGGAGGCAACCAATTGATGTGTCACTCACACTGATGTTTCTCTCTTGGTCTCTCCTCTTCTCTTCCACTATAAAAATCAATGGAAAAATGTCCTCTGGAGAGAATTAACAAAAAAAAAAATAAAAGTTTTTTAAAGGCTTTAGAAAATATATTTACCTTTTACGGATAGAGGATGATTTTTTTCAATTCAAGGACCATAATGAGTCTGACAAAAACAAATGTTGGTTGCTTACCTATAATTTCCCCCACCCACCCACCCACTGGTCTTTTCATCTTAATAGGACTTTGACTTTACTCATGTATCTAACATGGACTTCACTAAAGTTTTAGGATTATACAGCTTGATGCTTTCCCCAAATAAATGAGAACTCTGAGCAAGGAGGAGACAAATGAACATGAGACAAAACTGAAAAAGTTTAACCACATTACCATGTACATTAGCACATTGTGACACCATGAAATAAGTCAGACTCATTAATCCAATTTACAAACAAAGAAACTAAAATTTGGAGATGAATGATTCACCTAAAGTGGCAAAGCTTTTGACTCCTCACTCAAACTTCCACTCTTAATTCACTAACAACATGCTACTTCATCTAGATAGCAAACTATAATCTGCCCTTGTTTATATATATATATATATATATATATATATATATATATATATATATATTATTGATTTTTTACAGAGAGGAAGAGAGAGCGATAGAGAGCTAGAAACGTCAATGAGAGAGAAACATTGACCAGCTGCCTCTTGCACACCCCCTACCGGGGATGTGCCCGCAACCAACGTACATGCCCTTGACCAGAATCAAACCTGGGACCTTTCAGTCCGCAGACAGATGCTCTACCGCTGAGCCAAACCGGTTTTGGCCCTTGTTAAAAATCAGATGCAGGTACCTAATCTTATAGTCCAGCTCACCTATATTGGGTAAGTATACTGTAATCAGAAATATACAGACTAAATTTTAAAAACATGAAAATATATAGTTCAAAATCAATATTCTATAGGTTAATACAATCACTTTGCCAGAGTATAATATCCAACCAAAGCATGTGAAGATATATTTTTCAAATCCCTAGATCATATTAATGGTATTAACATGTTATGGATTAATAAGCAATAAATAATAGTTTGCCATTTTGGAAATTGCTATTTAAAGAATTTTTATTAGCTTTTATTAATAATATTCACAATCCTGAAAATGGAACACATCTCTAGTGGTTAATATAGGGCAGGTTGAGGAAAATTAAAATTAAATAATTGTTATTGCTATTTTATCACTAATACTAACGATGACAATACACCTTAAATTTTAAACAGGCTTAGCCTACACTTTTTGTGTTTAGAAATGCTTCGGTTTTTCACATTTCTAATTAACTACCATTTCTTCTTTAATCTAGCACCAACTAGGGGGTTACAAACTGCAAATCAAATACTGTCACTCTACATTCCAAAGTTGACTCAAAGCCTTGATTTCTTCAAGTGTAAACCAGGGAAGGACTTCTGCAAAGTTGGTTTATTATAACAGCCTCGGGCTTTATCAAAAATAAAAGTTCTGAGCAAGGAAGAGACAAACCATCAGCAGACACAAAGAGCAGCGTCTCCCCCGACTCCTCCCCTCACACCCCCCCCCCCAAACACTTCCAGCAGGTTTTTGTCAAATGTTTTTAAAGATGGAACTAATCTTCTTCAAAACCCTGAAAAGAGCCTGACTGGTTTGGCTCAGTGGGTAGAGTCAGCCTGCGGACTGAGGGGTCCCAGGTTCGATTCCGGTCAAGGGCATGTACCTTGGTTGCGGGCACATCCCAGCGGGAGATGTGCAGGAGGCAGCTAATCGATGTTTCTCTCTCATCGATGTTTCTAACTCTCTATCCTTCTCCCTTCCTCTCTGTAAAAAATCAATAAAATATATATTAAAAAAAACAAACCTGAAAAGATTCCGTAGCACTTCGTAAAAGCAAATGCCACTGGCCATCAAAGAGGCCTCCTAGGGTTATGACAGCAGCCGCTTTAGTCAATGGGGCTGTTGGCTCTTCTTTCCCATTAGCTAGTTCACGTCTAAAATTATGCAGAAATGCTTCTGATTTGTGTTTGCAACCCCCTGTGGCCCCAAATGCAACAAAAGGTGCTTTCAAAGGTCGGTAAGAAGTCCCAGGCAGAGCCATCTACTAACCCCATTATAGCGACTGTAACTTACTGAAACTGCAATGAAAGTTCATCATTCCCACCAAAATAATAAAACCGAAGGTTCTGTCTCAACATCACACAGCTTTCCTGGTCGGAGGGGAGGTCTCCGCCCTCATTCGGATTTACACCAAAAGCTCCGAGGAGCAAGTGTCTGAGCCTTAGACAGTCAGCCTTGCGACCGAATTCCGGGAGCGCTGGAGGATGTTTGTAGGACTGGGTACCATTTATTTTCCTTTGTCCTCCCAACGCGCTTTAAAACAGAGTCAAGCTGGGACCCTCTGGCTGGAAGAGGTGTAACAGCCCGCCAAATCCTCCTGAGCAGAAAAGACCTGGGAAAGGGGACCCTACCCGACTTCCGGGAATACCGGCTCACTCATAACAGACTTCCGGGAACGGCGCAGACTCCGCCCACCACCCGATGGGCCATTCGCCCCTCGACTCCCGCCCCGCCCACCTTAGGGTCCGCCCCTTCCGGTATCCCAGTTCGCGGAACTCGCCACTGCTGCCTCCGCCGAGACGCACCCGAGAGTTATTTACTTTCGTTTTCGCGGCAAACCTCTCCCAGCTCAGGCTGAAGAAAGCAGTGGTGGAGATCCGGAATTACTCCGTTTTCGCGGCCGCCTCGCAGGGTCGCACCCGGGAAGGACGCCGGAGTCTGACGGAGTCCGCTATCGGCGAGCTCGGGGAGTCTGGACCGCAGCGGCCGCCGGGCCCCGCGCGCACCGCACCCGGCTCGGAGGGCCAGCGCTCCCTCGGTCAGTGGGCAGCACGCTCGGCACCTGACGGTGTGGGCCGGGACCGCCGCGCTGCGGACCCCGCCCAGGGGCCCGGGTCCGATGTTCGCGCCGCCCGCGTCTCAAATGAGCGAACTCCGGGGCGGGCAGCGGGGCGTGGACTGCTCGCTTTGCCTCCACCCCCTGCCCCGGCAGAGGAGGAAGACTGGGGCGAGCCCCGCCCTGCGCCGCGACGCTCTGCACCCCGAGATCTGTTTGCAACCCATCCTTACTCTGAAGCGGATTGGGAGGCCAGGAAAGAGGAAATCTTACCCGGTCCTAGAAGCCTCTGCCTGCCACGGGGGGGGGGGGGGGGGGGGGGGGGGAGGAAGGGTGGTCCCAGGGGATGGGTTACCCAGTGGATAAGATTCTAAGCCCTTACAGCAGACCTAGACCCTCCCTCAGGCAAATTACCCTCTCTTCACTTGCTAATAAAATCTCGGGCTGTGGAGGGAGAAATGTGGTAATTATTTTGTAGCTTTTTAAACTGGTGATGGGGAAGTCTCAAGCAAAATGGGAAATGCTTGCTATAGTGCTGTATTAAAAAGCAAATAATATATACTGCATGATCACATACTGTAAAAAGATAGAATCACGTGAATGAGAAACTACAAACTGAAAGAAAATATTTGAAAAAGACATGTCTGAAAACTGTTATCTAAAATACATTTGACCCTTAACAACTTGGCTTTGTACTTCGTGGGTCTACTAATACAGGATTTACAAAATCTGTTTTTAAGTGGACCCCCGAGATTCAAACCCACCTTGATAAAGAGTCGAGAGTGTTTCTATGTTGGAGGGCCCGCTTAAGTTATACCCAGATGTATGACTACTTGGGTGATGGATGCCCCAACACCCCCACCTCTTGTTTAAGGGTCAACTAAAAACTTAACACTCAACAATTAAGGAAAGGAATAACCTAATTAGAAAATAAACAAAATATCTGAATACACATCTGAGGATACAGATGGCAAGTAAGAATGTGAAAAGATGCTCATCATTATAGGGAATTGCAAATTTGAAAAAACACTGGGATACCACTCTTACGTATTTTCTAGAATGACTAAAATCCAAAATACCGACAATACCAAATGTTGGTGAGGATGTGGAACAACAGGAATTCTCATTCATTGTTTGCATGAATCAAATTGGTACAGCCACTTTGGAAGAAAATTTGACAGTTTTTGTTTTGTTTTTTTAAAACTGATTTACCATATGACTCAGCAACCACATATCTGGGTATTAACCCAAATGAATTGAATAGTACTCAGTTCCAAAAAAGAAATGTAAATCAAGCCCCCAAAAGACATGGTTGAACCTTAAATGCTTATTTCTAAGTGAAAGAAGACAATTTGAAAAGGCCAATAATATGTGATTTCAACTATAACATTCTGGAGAAGGCAAAATTGTGGAGACAAAAAAAATCCATAGTTGTCAGGTTTAGAGGGATGGATCAATAGGTGGAGCACAGGATTTTAGGGCAATTAAATTATATATGATACTATATTGGTGGATACATTATACATTTGTCAAAACCCGTAAATGTATAACAGTAAAACCAAATGTAAAGTATGGACTTTGCTTAATAATGATGTGTCAGTGTTGGTTAATTGTTGGACTTTGCTTAATAACGATTGTACCACACTGCATGATGTTGATGATGGGAGAGGCTTTGTGTTTTGGGGACTGGGTGTTAGGGTAGAATATGTGGGAATGACTCAGCAACCACATGTCTTGGTATTAACCCAAATGATCTGAAAGCTTATAGCTATGCAAAAGCCTACACATAAATGTTTATAGCATCTTTATTAATTGCCAAAACTTAAAGGCAACCAAGATTGTCCTTCAATAGATGAATGTGTCAAAAACAAACAACAACAAAAACCACCTGTGGTCCACCCATACTGCATGATCACTCACTTTTGTTGTGAAACTAAAATTGTAAAAAAAAAAAAAAAAACCTTTAAAAGAAATAAAGTCACATATATTATTTAATGAAAGGGTTACCTATTCATTTAATAAACATTTCTAAATAGTATATAACAAGTATGTACTAGATACAAAAATATCTGATGGTAGATACAAATGATACAAAAAGGCATTCAATAAATTTTTACAAATTACCTGTTTTAGGCAGTAAAGACTTGATTGTTAATAATATCTCTACCCTTATGAGCTTATATTCTAATGGGGAAGATGAATGAATGAATAAACTATGTAGTATGTTAGTAGCAAATATTAAGAGAGAGAAAGCACCAAAGTTGGATAGGTGTTCATATATGTGTGGATAATAAGTGTATCACAATTTTAGATGGAGTGGCCAAGGGAAATCTCATTGTAAAGGTAATATTTGAGTAGACAACTGAAGGAAGTCAGGGGGAAGCCATGAGGATATCTTGGGGATAAGCATGCAGAGCAGAGAAAGGAGAGCAAGGGCAGCAGCTCAGAGATGGGAGCAGAGGGAGAAGCCACATGTGAAATAAACAAGACAAACTAGTAATAGAGGATCAGTGTAAGGAACAGGAAAAATTATGTGAGGACATATGGATGATTTTTTAAAATATGTCTTGATTTCAGAGAGAAAGAAATAGAAACATCAATGATGAGAGAGAATCATTAATTGGCTGCCTTCTGCACATCCCCTACTGGGAATCAAGCCTGCAACCTGGGCATGTGCCCTTGACCCGAATCAAACCTGAGACCCTTCAGTCCGCAAGCTGATGCTCTATCCACTGAGTCAAACCAGCTAGGGCTTATGGATGATTTTATGAAGATTGCTTTTTATTCTGTTAATCAGCTTAACAATAACCCACAACCTTCGGACCAACTTGCTTTTTATTCTGAATTAGTCAAGACATTAGAGGGCTTTGTGTAGAGAAGAAGCATACTCTAAATTATAATAGGACTAGAGGCCTGGTGCATGATATTCGTGCACAAGGTGAGGTCGCCTTAGCGTGGCCTGCCCCCTCTCCAATCTGGGACCCCTCAGGCGATGTCTGACTGCCTCTCGCAATCTGGGACCACTGGCTCCTAGCCACTTGCCTGCCTGCTTGCCTGATCGCCCCTAAACCTTCTGCCTTCCTGCCTGATCGCTCCTAACTGCTCCCCTGCTGGCCTGATACCCCTAACTGCCTCTACATCCCCCTGCACCCAGGACCCCGAGACCCGGGCTTCACTCCCTCTGGCCTGCTGTAGGCACCCAGGACCCAGGCTGGCTTAGCTTAGACTGGCCACAGCCGCAGGGGACAGTGGGCAGGCGGTTTCACCTGGGCCATAGCTGTAGGCACCCAGGACCACAGGACGTGTGGCTTGTCCCTCTCCCATGCCCAGGTGCAGGCACAGCCGCTGGCACCGGGGACCACAGGGTGGGCAGCTTTTCCCTCTCCTGGGCCGCAGTCTGGCTGGTCTCCATTTCTCTCTTGTGAGCTCATTTGTGCCTGGCTGGTCCTCATCTCTCCCTCCCCAGTGTTGAGACTCTAAGCAGTTCCAGCATGAGGGTGTGAGGGCGTGATGACCATTTGCATATTAGCTCTTTATTATATAGGATTGCTCTGGTTGCTGAGTTGAAAATAGATTGCAAAGGGACAAGAGCAAAGCAGAAAGTTATTGCAGTAACGCAGACAGGTGAAGATGGCTTGATTAGAGTGATAGTAATAGAAGTAACAATAAATTGTTGGATTCTGGATAAAATATGAATGTGGAAATGACGGGATTAGCTTTGGAACCAGAAACAGTGATGGAAATAAAATAACTGGAAAGGTTTTTTGTTTGTTTGTTTGTTTTTTCCTGAGCATAACTTGAAGGATAGAGTTGAACAGTGCAAACAGAAAGTTTATGAAAATAGATCTCTGTTGGAACATGTTAATTTGAGATGTCTATTACACATCCAGGTGTAGGATCAAGTAGGCAGGTGGGTATCTGAATATGGAGCTCAAGGAAGGGGTCTAGGTTGAAAATGTAAATCAGAATGTCATGAACACACGGATGGCATCTAAAGCTGTGAGTCAAGATATCAAGAGAAGGAATGTAGATAGAAAAGAGGCCTGAGGAGTGAGTCCTGAGGCCCTACAATATTTATGAGTTGATGAGATGAAGAGCAGCCAGCAGGAAACTAGGGGAAACTAGGTGTGTGGGTGGATCCTTAAGAGAATTATTAGTTGTGCCAAATGGTGCTAATACGTCAGGAAAGATGGACTGAGAATTTACCATTGCATTTGGTAACATGGATATTTTCAAAGTCCACAATAATGGAAGTTTTCATAGTATGGTGGGAGTAAATTCAAGAACATGTTTGAGGACATGGGGAGAGAGACTGAGTTTAGTTAGGTCTTAAGAAGGATTTTTTCAGAAAAAGGAATGAGATGAATAGGACTATAGTCAGAGATGGAAATGGTGTAAAAAATTTATTAAGATCTCATATTTATTCTAAGAAACTTCACAGTCTTTTGCAGAGGCATTTCCCCCCCATACAAATGTTATTTAATAAGGGAATGATAAAGGTATGTACCAGGTGTTATGACAACAGTAAAAGGTTCTACTTATTAGGACAATAATTCTACACAAGAGGAAGAAAATCAGGAAAGACTTCACAAATATGAGTAGAGAAATTCCTATTCTGGTCTTGATAGAACATATAGAATGAATCCTTCCATTGAAAACAATAATGCAACATGGAAAAAACATGTAAAATGACTGCTTGGAGGCGTTAGAGAAAAGCTCACACAGGGAGAACTAAAAAGGCTACTGTCCTTGAGAAGGAAGCAGATGAAGTGAGCTCCATATTCATTCCCACAGCGTTTTCTCTCAGGGCATTTCCAATTCTTTTTATTTTTATTTTTTAAAATTTTATTTTTTTATTAAATTATTATCTGTGTACATATTTTACATTGCCCCCCTCCCATACATACCCACCCTCCCCAGAGTTTTGTGACCATTGGTTGTACTTACATGCATGTATACAAGTCCTTCGGTTGATCTCTTATCTCCCCCAGATCTCCCTACCCTCCCCGATGTAATTTGACAGTCTGCTTGTTGCTTTACTGTCTCTATATCTATCTTTTGGTTCATCAATTTATAATGTTCTTTATTATCCACAAATGAGTGAGGTCATGTGGTGTTTCTCTTTCATTGACTGGCTTATTTCACTCAGCATGATGTTCTCCAATTCCATCCAGGTTGCTGCAAATGATGAGAATTCCTTCTTTTTATGGCAGCATAGTATTCCATT